ATTAATAACATATATAGAATGTACAAATCCATTAGATTGAAATAGTATAGAGTTTCTGTTTCATTCTTATGAACTGAGCTCTCCCGACATCTAACGAATGCACGAGGCCTCGAACAAGTCGAAATGCCTGGAAGAAATGGACTGGGGAGCACTGAAGACTTCGTGTAGATCAAGCGGCTGTTGGTTTTACAATAGAACCAAGATTTGCACTGTGTGCTATGATTATCTCACTTGCAGACTTCTGTACTACATGACATATTGATACACATTGCAACAATTCCAACAACGGTGTTTTACACGGACCCACCTGTACTCTGGTAACTTTCTCTTTGCTTCTCTAGGGCTTGACTCACCACCTGCTCGCTCACAGCAAGCAGTGGTGTGTTGTGCACTGCCACAATTGGTGATGGCAACCGCCGATTCCAAGCATCCAGGCACGTCTAGATAGGCAAAATCTCAAGGCCATCAAAAGCCATCGTATTTAAGATATTTGACACCATATTTTCAAATTATATAACTGGAACAAGAACGGATCATAACTGATGTTGGTACTTTGGTGGCTCAATCCAACTCTGCCACTGCTGCCTTTCAGGTAAGCAATGACACACATATTAATATTATCTTTTAAGACTTTGTCCTGACGTGAGACTGGCGGATCCTCTTTTTCTTGCAGGCTTGCACTGGCACTTGTGACCATCAATTCTGAATAATTATCAAGGGAAACAAGGAAAGTGGCGAAGTAAATTCCATCAATAGTATTCCTGGGTTTCAGCAAGAAGTTTGGCAGACAGGAATCGAACTTGGGGTCTCCAAAACAAAGAAATCTCACAAGAAAGCCGATGCCAGTGCAGGGTGAGATGAAGAAGTCCAAGGTCCGTACAAAGAAGTCCAGGCAATCAGCTAACCCAGGCAACGGCTACTACCCCCTCATCAACTTCGAGATTTACCAGTACGTGCGCTTCATGCAAACATGTAAAGCATAGGCCCGCTTGGTAACTTTAGTGTTGACTAGGTTGATTTCTGGACTGGTGCCTGAAAATGATGTTCAAATACGCTCCAAGACGGTTTCTCGCAGTACTTTCATGTCTGCACCTTCCTTGAACAACTGTTGCTTGGATGATCAACCTCTTACGAGCCCAACCCTGGAATGCCAGGCTAGCAGCGTTGTACATTGCTTTCCTCTGCACCCCGTCATCTTCTCGAAACTCTCGCAGGAATTGTCGAGCCACCTCAAAGGCATACATCCAGAAGAGCATGAATCAAATAGCTTTGCAGATATGCAGGATACCCTGATTCTTGGAAATCTCCATGTGAAACTTGCAATGTCCTCAGCCTTGTCTGATCGTGGATCCCAACCATTCCCAACCTCAACAGCTCCATGCCAACGTTGCTGATCTTGATGCTCTCCGACCATCTTCCGCAAACCCACAAACATCTCTGCATCGCGGACCTCCAAAACTGTCAGTGAATCTCGGTGGGAATCCTCACCGAATTAAGTCGATACCCGGTGAAGTTGTGTGAGCTACTGTCCATACATAAAATTTATGTATCTTGACATATCTTGACCATCAATTTCCTGAAAAGCACCTCTGCCAATGCTTTCGGATTCTGCCGGGAAACACCTGGGCCAAGCATTGGTGGACACAAGATACATCGCCCAATATCTGCAACCTAAGGAAGCTGTTATATAACTGTCGAATCAGCTGCTTCACTTGAAGCAACGAGCAGCTCCAAACAAAAACGGCACCATCCCGAGAAGTCCAGAAACATGACGACACGGCCCCAACTTGTGCAGTCAGATCGCTCCAAAGAAGCTGAATCACAGACTTGGCCACATCAGGCCTGCTCAAGAGAGCTAAGGAATTGGACAGAATATGATACTGTAGAAAACAAGAGAAAAGAGCGAATCCCATCAAATTGACACCACTTGCAATGCCTGTCAGGATGCTTGTCGAGCACCAGCTGGCCCAAGGATATGACTTGGTGATCTGCATCATTCAGAAATGACCTTAACTTGCACACAGTCCATGCCAGGTGTTTACAATCGAGACAGGAACGATGATACCCGAGGCTTGCGCGCCATGGCAGGATTGCCTTAGACTAGGTAGGGACTTAGGGACATGTAGGGACAGGATCATCAGGCATATTCAGGAGATGCAATGCTGCCGTCAACCCTTGAAATTGACACCAATATTCACGTGATTATGTGTATATATATATATATATATTCACCCCGCTTTGCGTGGGGTGGCCGCCCACACCGCAGGTTTATTTCGGTCCGTGAGAGGGGCTAAGGGTGGTTTTCCCCCGTGGGGGCTCTTCAAGCTAAGAAGTTTCAATAAGAAATCCTTCCAAAACATTGTTTTTGACAGTGTTTTTCCAATGTTTCCAGTCAAACAGACGGTAATTTACACGTTTTTTGCCATAAAGGCAGTAAATCCTTCCAAAACATTGCTTTTGACAGTGTTTTTGTAATGTTTCCAGTCAAGCATACGGTAATTTACACGTTTTTTGCTATAACGTCAGTCCAAAACACTTGTTTTTGCAGTGTTTTCAATGCTCTGGCATCCAAAAACCCTGCAAAATCTTGCTATGTACAATGTTTTTTTCATTTTTGGCCGTTTTTCCATTGCCGGAAAGCTACCAAAATGACCCAAAATTCCATTTCAATACCCTCTTGCGCTCAGACACCCAAAAATCCTCGAAAAATGTCGAAAACACCACCGTATTCTGGTCTCGGTGCGAAACCGTTTTTGGGGTCTGGTCTCGGTGCGAAACCGTTTTTGCCCCCCCCCCAGCTAAAGCTGATATAGCGACTGCTATATTAACAAATGTCATTGAGCATTTAGTGTTGCTGTTGCCCCCCAATAAGCACGCCTTCACCGCCAAAGCGGTGTGGGCGGATTATTTATAATTATTTATATGTATTTATGCTGTTGCTAGAAGTCACGTGAAGCCACTTAATCCTGAAGAATTTGACGTAAATATCCTCTGTATCCTTCCTTGCCTGACTCTTGAACCCGGAAACATTGTCACTCGCATAATCTTGCACAATCTTGCACACATGTAATGATAGATTGTCAATTCGGGCCACATGGAGGTTTCCATAAACGGGGGTAATTACCCCAAAATGGATGGTTTTTCCATGTTTAATCATGTTTATAATAATTTATAATATTTTAAGATATATTGTGTAATGGCAAATCCTATTAATTAAAGATAATTAAAGATAATTCATGTGGATCAATGGATGAAAACTGGTGGTATCCCATCGCAAAGCTCACACCTTTGGACATCGATGACATCCGATGCCTGCCTGACCTGCCAGGTCACGTAGCGTCAGATTTGCCAACAATCCATAGCCCTGCTCGCACACCACTGGAGTGCCCAGGTGATCACGGACCGCTTGAACATAGCCTTTCGTTTCGCAGGACCTAAGAGTTATAGCATGTTATAGCAGCTATATAGAAACTCGAAGTGACTCTATAATCTCTATAGATATCCATGATTTCAAATCATATTTGAACCGTTTACGCTGAATGAAACATATTCCATCAATTTCCATCAATTTCCATCATACTTCCTAATCTTTCCACAGCCCATTGAAAGGATGACTGAGATCCCTACAACGATAGCTCGTCCCGGACGTCTTCACAGAAGGCGAAGGCCCGCAAAACAGCCAAAGCAGCTCGTACCAAACGCGCTTCTGAAGATCCCAAAGCTTTTCGAACATAGGGCATCATTAAGCCTTTCGGCTTAGCCAGTTCTTGAATCCTCTCTTGGCCTCGAGAGATTTCCCTCAAGAGTAACAACGTCTGTTCAGTCAGCTTGAGCGGCTGAGACGCCAGCTTGGATGCATTTTCGACGATTCCCCGCACTTTTGGATAGATCTTGTCACTGAGCAGCACTTCACGGTTTTCCAGTGCTGAAGGCATGCATTCGGATTTCCGGGTGTCGTCATCTACCACCAAAGAGCGTAAAGCCGCCATCGCCTCTGTCTGGAGTTGCACAGACTCTGGAAATGCCTCCAGAGTATCCAGTAGGAGAAATATGGCGCCATGCAAAGGCTTCTCGTCAGCATCATCAATCACACCCTTTTCCTCGAAAACTTGTGCAGCCACCTGTTTGTTGGCATCGTTGGCAGTGCACATAGCTGTAATTGCTGCGCACCCCGCCAAGAGCACGTGTTCATCCTTGGTGTCAAGTGCTTTTTTCAGCATCTTGACAGTTGCCACTAGAAATCCGGTCTCTCTCAAGCAGGCGCGATTCACCAAGCTTGTACGGCATACCTCAGGCATGATACGACAGAAGGCGAGCATAGCTTCACCCTGCCAGTTACTCTTGTTCAAAATATCAGCAATCTGATTGATGCCCTCGAAATCGCTCAGGAGATCTCGATCTTTGGGAGATGCTCGCAATCGAATTCCGATCTTTACAAGAACAGAAGGTAGCTCCTCCTCACTCGCAGATTCAACCTCATCTATCAGCTCAAGCAGTTCAGGAACTTCTTCATCTGCCTGTGCAGCCTCCTCAGCTTCTCCACCTTCATCAACTTCGACTGCCATTGCCAAACCCTCTGCCGCAGAGGCTGCACCAGTGAGATTCGGTGAGGTGTTTGATGGTCTGCTGAGGCTTATTTTGCCTCTTCCAAAGCGATTGCTTGGTGATGTTTTTTGCCCATCTGACTGCAAACCGGTGCCAAAAAGCTGCCAGCAAAAGATTAACAACCTCAAGTAATTTCTATTTTTTGCTTGCAAAGTTGTGAAGAGTTGAGATTTGCTCAGCTACCACTCGAAAACAGCTGCAGTGCCCACAGCTGCAAGTCTCTCATGTTTTGCCAGTCGAGTTCTGGGGCTTCACAATTCACCGAAGTGGCTGTTGCAGTAAGAGTTACTATAGTGATCTATAGTGACTTTAAAACCCAAGATGCCGAAAGACCCAGCATGACAATGTGGCAACCTTTGTAGCACCACCAGAGTCAATTCAGTGCCTCTGAAGGGCTTGCGCCGCCCTCATTCATCAGCTTCAGGAAGCCCATGCCCTTGGTGGCCTCTGAATTTGACAACTTCCAGGCTTCTCAGTCATTAGTTTCGCTGCGCAAGACCAACCATTTTGCTAAAGTTTGAGGGACCCTGATTTTTACCAACATCTGCAACTGGGGCAACCCCTATGAATCTCCAAGGCTACTCTCAAGTGTTGGATTTGCCCCTGCTTCAAGTCCCAGCAAGTCCCACCTCGGAGCACGGTGTGAAGTTCAGTTTCACTTCCGACCTACCGGGCAAACTTCAGAGTTCGTGCAGCACAGATATGCATTATGCACCAGCATCACTGGTCCGGCCACATATTGTCTGCCTCTCATGCACGCAGCCAAAGTTTTTAACTGTATGTGTAAATATACAATATATATATATACATAATATGTATTATAAGTTTTGTACAACTAACATATAATCAATTATATATATATGTATGTATATACATATATACAATTATATACATAAGTTTTATACATATGAGCTATATATATATAAGTTATATATATAAAGTATATATATATGTAGTGTATATATATACAAATTATATATAGTATATATAAAAGTTATATATATAGTATATATATATATAAGTTATATATATAGTATATATATATAAGTTATATATAGTAGTATATATAACTTATATATAGTATATATATAAGTTATATATATAGTATATTATATATATATTGTATATATATATATGTATATTATATACATATACACACATGATACACAAACACAAATATATATATATATATATACACAGTGTTTCAGGACGCAGTTTGTAATGTTTACAATGAGTTTGCTTTGTTTTCGTGTTTCCTTCACTCTCAGTACACCCATCTCTGGCGCGCACCTTGCGGCATCTTCCTCGGGTGTAGAAAGCCGGTTGTATTCGCTTTTTTCATTAGCAAGTGTTCGGCAATGTTTAGCAATGCTTTGCAATCTTCAACCCCAAGAGTAGCTAAGACATTCAAGTTTTCAAATTGAAGGTCAGCAGTGCCCTAAATTTCAGGTATCGCCACAAGTCTCTGATACTCAGGCCAAGGCTTCTTTCCCTGCTTCCACTGGCGCCTCCAAAGTGTTTCTTCTTACAATGCAGTATGACAGAACCACCAGTCCACGCGACTCTTTATATCATAATTATATATATATATCTTACTATATATTTGCATCTTGGACTCCCGACGACACTGTGGTTCGCGCACCTTGTATGCTTCCAGCATCTGTTGAAGATCTCGCTTCGCTTTATCAACACTTCCTTCCATTCTGGCTGTTCTAGCTCTAGCATATTGAATCATTATGCTTTCTGCATCTGACTTGTGGACTTGTTTGACCTCTGCGAGCCTGAATTCATGGTGGTGAAGTACACGCCCCGATCACCTCAGCAACATCTGTAGTTTCCTGGAAAACCCAATCCCACCATGATCCCAGTCAGTGATAGTCAGTGCTCATAAGCAGCAAACTCTTTGAGTTTTCACCAAGGATCACACCCACAGCAATCACCACACCCTTGGAAGCCTTTTGGCGCTTGGCATCGCCACCACCAGGCCCTGAGCCCCTGACGCTTTTCATGGCACATCGAAGGAGCTAAAGTCAACACTTGGTGCTTGTGTGTGCACATCACTTTATACAATTACTTTATATAATTTATATAACTTTCAGTCACAAATTCATGGAACATACAGAACATATCATAAAATTATCTGACATCATCAGACATCATCTGACACTTTTCGGCTTTGCAGCCTCTTCTTGGCAGAGGGTGCCTGGGATGCAGTTGCCTGAAGGCACCATTGAATGATCATCCATGTCCCTTAAGTCTGGGGCGTTTCCGTTGTCTCACGGGTTGGTAAACAAGGTATACCAAGGTGACATGCTTCAATGTCCAGCCCAGTCTAAGCTGAGTACTGTAGGCTTCGGCTGCCCATGGTCTTTGCCTGCCTCCTTTTGGACCTTTGTCTCCTCTTTTCCAGGGCCAGAATCCGCGGTCGCGCCTGAACACAAAACCATCAAAACTTCAGACGGCCTGGAGCCAAGTTTGAACCAAAGTGCAGAACTGCAAAGGGCTGCAGGAAAGGAAGCCAGCTGCGAGGCCGTGGCAAGGGACAAAAGGCCCGTTACACTGCACTGCCTGGAGCTGCAGACTCGTCGGACATGGCAACGATCAAACCATCAAATGCGGAATGGCAATTGAAAATGCTATAGCAAGCTGCTATTAAAGGCTATGAGGTCCCGTGGCAAGAACTTGCTCCAGCTCCTTAATTTATATAAGCTTCCTATGCATTTGACTGATATGATCATCATGACGGTGATAAGGTGGTCATACGAAAATGGGTGGCTACTTGATTGGGAATATTGCCTGGGATCTCCTTAGAGTCATTTAATAAAGCAAGGGACCAAAGCTGTGGCTCGTGGTGATTCAAACTCTGCTCTCTTTCAAAACGAAGATTTGAGCGCTGGGAAGCATTGTGATTTTGTCACTGCCGATTTGGTTTGGTTTTCTGTAACAACCTCCTTCCAAAAGTGCTTGAAGCCTCAGTGGCTGCAAATGCCAACTTTGCTTATTCCTGATGGCATGCAGGAATCACATTGTCTGCCTCCTCTTCACTGTTCACTCATCCCTGCAGGAAAATCACATACCAGTATGAGCCATGCAGGCAGAACATATCCCAACCCCTGTCAGCATTGGCGTGAAGTTGCTGATGGTTGTGCAACATGGAATCTCATGGCCATAATATTGGAAATTGCAGAGCCACACAGCCAAGAAATGATTTGCTTTTCCATTCCTCTAACGCGTCATCGCAGGCAGCCTTTCCAATGGCTGCCACGGCTTAAATGCACGACGAGGCATCCGATATCAAGATCACTCTTTTCATAGCTCCCTGAGCTCACTGTTAAGCATTTGAGTATCTTGGATAACATTTTATTTTCAAGATAAATTAAGTTTAAAATAGTTTGAAGTCATGACCTGTTTGCATCATGTCCATCGTGCCTGGCTCTCAATAATTGTGCGGCTGTAACTAGGGTAGCCCAGCTCTCCCCATTTGTGGAGACGGGCCATTTTTGAAACTCCGTGCAAGGGGTTTTCTGTGGCAAAGATGTATTGATTGCATGTAATAAGATCATAGCAGTGTTTCGCACATATACACACACACATCTTACTCAGACTCTACTGCTTAACATTTTGAGATCTTGGCTTCCCTTGCACTGTTCCTGGAGTCCCGTGAAACAGAAACCAAACCTAAAGAGCGGACTGCGTGAAGTTTGACTGCTTGCATCTGCTTGCATCTGCTTGCCTTACGCATCGGCCTGCTCCATGAGTGCAACAAATTCATCGAAAGTAAGCTCAGGCATTTTGCTGGAATCTTGTTGGCCTCCGACAATTGCGATTTCCTGCCATTCAGATTCAGTGATGGCGTTGCACATCACACTCTTCACATCCTGATAGGTGATGCGACCAATGCCCTGCTTGTCAAACTTCTTAAAGCATTCAAAAAGTTGCTGCCGATCAAACTTCACTCGTCGCTCTATCAATGCAGAAATAAACTCTTTGTAGCCAATACATTTGTTCCCACTCCCATCCAAAGCTGCCATGATTTGTTCCAACTCCACCTGACTCATTTCATAGCCAACATGGCGCATCCCCTCAATCAACTCCTCGCAAGACAGTAGGCCATCACCTTGCTTGTCGAGGGCCATGAACTTCGCCCGGAGTTCCTGAATCTGAAACTCGCTCAACTCGCGGGTGAGCAGCTGGAGGACGGCCCTCTTCAGTTTGTTGTAGGCCTGGTATTGCTTGAGGCCGTCGAAAATGGAGACACTTAGGCCTTCCACATTTCCGAAGGGGGATGGCTTCGTTGGATCTCGGAACCACTCGTGCATCAAAGCTTGTGTAGCACTTAAACGATTCTTGGGAGACTTTTCCAAGAGCTTTCGACAAAGGTCACAAGCTTCTGGAGAGACCTGCGCCCAAATGTCCACTGGAAACTGTACTGGGTCTGGGCTAGAAATTTTGGCTCGCACGGCTGTCTCATCATCGCCTGGCGTATAAAAGGGGTGCCAACCGGTGAAGAGCTGACAAAGAATGATTCCAATGCTAAACAAATCGGCTTTTTGGTCATAGGACCCTTCAATCATCTCTGGCGCCATGTAGTGTGGAGTTCCAGCTTTTTGCATCACTCGCTTTCGCTCATGCCAGGGAATAAGATGCCGACCATTCACGGACGGAAGCATCCGGGCCAGTCTGCCCATGGTGCCGCTGCGCGCTACCTTCACTTCCTTGGCCTGCTCTCTAATCTTCTCATGGAAGTTTGCCAGGCCAAAGTCAATGATCTTGAGTGAAGAGCTTGCAGTTCGATCCACAAACAGAATGTTCTCAGGCTTAATATCCCGATGGATGATACCCTGGTCATGGCAGTACTTCGTGGCAGACAAGATCTGCTGCATCATGAAGGCCACATGACTCTCCGTCATCGGCTGCTTCAGCCTTTCATAATGATGCAAAATCCGGGAGAACAAATCGCCACCCTCACAAAGCTCAGTCACTAGGTAGATGTTTCCACCAGCTAGTTGGCCGTTGTCAGAAGCTTGCTCAAAGTATACCTCATGCATCTTCATGATATGGGGATGGTTCAATGACTTCAGCAACCGGATCTCGTTGTCCATCAACTCTCTCTGAAGAGCAGTTTGTACAGCAACCACCTTGCAGGCACGAAGCTGCTTGGTACTCTTGTGCCTCACAAGCATCACTTTGCCGAAAGAACCAGATCCAACATCGCCGCAAAAGAGGTAGTCATCAAAGATGGCCAAGCGTCCAACATGGGTTGGAAACATCACCTCGGACGAAATGTTGGCTGCTGTTGCCCGGGACAAACCACTGGCACCTCGCAGAATCAAGGTGTCATCTGGTTCCTCCGCTGTAGCTGAAGATGAATGGGTCAAACTTCTGCCTGCTTCCTTGCTTTCAGACCCCGTGGCCTGTCGAGGCGGTCGAGAGTGGACTTCTTCTCTCTCCACTTGCAGCACTTGCGTCTCTTCCTTTGGCATCACCTGGAGCTCTTTCTTTGGCAGACTTGGCGTCTCCGGAGCTTGACGCTCTACATGGAATGGCGGCTGCGGCGGCTGAGGCGGTGGTTGCGGCGGTGCCTGCGCCTGTTGTGTCTCTTGCTGCCGCAGCTCTTGCTGCTGCTGCAGCTGCTGTTGCTGCTGCAACTGCTGTTGCTGCAGTTGCTTCGCCCGTTTCTTTTGGTGATGCTCATCCCACTGCTTTACAATCTCTTGGAAGCATCGGTAGTCAATGAGGTCTTGCCCCGTGTTTGCAAAGTTGCGGAACACTCGGACGTACCAATCATCCTTCGGCATTGGAAGGTCTCCAAGCTGCTGGAAAACCATCATAAGACCTGCTTTGTTTTGACTGCAATCTATGTGGCCTGTCCTCAATGCATCCACGAATTCAAATGCCTCTTTGCAAAGTTTGGACCGTTGCACACTCCTTTCAGGCTTCTCCATTGAAGTGTCCGAAGCTCTTGATGGCTCTCTGTAAGGAACCTCAGGAGGCGGGCCATATCGTGGAGGGTAGCCTGGATAGGCTGAAATCGCAACTGGGCCATAGCCATGCGATCCATGCGATCCATGCGGTGGCCCATACTGTGACGCCACAGGACGGTCGGGCCGATACGGCGCAGCAGGCGCAGCTGCAGGGCGTCCAGGATATCCTGGTGCCTCCATTCCCGATCTCCAATTCTAACGATTTGGAAATGATGTTCCTGAGAGTTCCGGATGCTATTCAATTCCTATTCTAGGTCATGAGCCAAGGTTTGTGATCACAATAAAATTCCGATTCCATATCTTTCCATCTATTCCTCAACTGTCAACACAAAGTGGAACATGCATGCTTGTATTGAAGTGTACAAAATGTTGGGACATCCGTTTGCTTCTTCTGCTTCCCCGCTAGCACCCACTGCTTTGGCTGACATGCTGATAGGTTGAAAGGTTTAATTATTGAGGATTCTGTCAGCAGCCATGACAACTGCGGATTGGGTGGGTCATGTGCCTTTCAAAACTGCTATTTTTTGGTTGCCCGCATCATTACTAAGTACTACTTGTGATTGGTGCAGGGAGACAATAGGTCAGTCAAACTGGACAAAATGGGGTGGATATATTTGCTCAAAGAGGCAGTGAGTGCTCTGCTGAGAGTTGAGCAATATCTGCAGAATACCGTGGAATCACGCATCATGGCGGCATGGCGCGCTAGACTGTGTGATTGTCGCCAAACCAGTCTGCTGTCTGGCAAATCTAGTCTAGTCGTCTAGTCTAGTCCACACTCTTCGTCAGCAAGTGAAGCCTGCAAGCTCTTGCCGTCCGTTCAATTCCACAACTTCCGTCGTTCTGAAGTCATAGTGGCGCGATAGCGAGATCAGAGCTTCTTTTTGCACGTGGGACTGCAGGTCTGCTATACAAATGGACCATCCGTCATGGTCGAAAGCAGCCGAAAAACATCGATGTCAGGACCTTCTGCACATTACAAGGTCTGTACACGGTTCGAAAGGTCCTGTGGCCTATGACATCTCAAGCTGTTATAATCTGCTGCGATTGCGATGCTACACAGCTACACATCGGGTCGGCCATTTCCCCAGCGTCGCTTCACTGGTGGAAAGCGCTGCAGTTCTGCAACCTCAACCTGCTTCGGTGGCCTTCGAAGGCCTGCGACGATCAGTCAATTCCTTGTCTGATTGGTATCTTTAATGTACTTTAATAATACTTTCATTATCTCATGTTGTCTTTATAGAATTTTATCAAATTTTATCGATATCTTTAGTCTTTTAGTATAGTTGAAGCATCTGGCCAGCGACGATCCCTGCCCAGCCATGGCCTAGGGCGCCTTCAGGAACTTTGTTCTTTGTGATCTCTTGCCTTAGCGTGACTCTTGCACCACACAAAATCTCATGAAATCTCATGAAACTATGGAGCACATGTCGAAACCCATGCTTGGGGATTGTGACCTGATCATGTTGATATTATGTTGCAGCAATTCTCCGAATGCCTGCCTTTCCAACACTAACAGGGCAGGTACTGTACCTAAATATGAACATCCCGAGAATGCCTCAGAGTTACTTTTCGCGCTCAGCACTGGCTGGCGGACTCTCCTCATCTATCAGAGCATGTAGCGTCGTTGTGTCATTGTCGAGGATAGCGGAGAGTTTGCTCAAGTCTGTGCTTGTTCGCACCTGGTTGGCAGTCCACAGCTTTTCATTGATGCTCCATTTTGTTATACAAAGCTTTACACCATCCAAAACATCCAAAACCCCGTACCATTGCGATCCATTGGGCCTAGGGCCTAGCCTTGCTTTCGACGATTGGTTCCACACCGTTGTCGCGAAAAACGTCCAAAGCTTTGCTAGTTGCTTGAGCCATGCCCCGCAAAGAACTCAAAAACTCCTGCAAGAAGTAAGACAGTTCAAGTCACTGAATTAGGAAATCATGAGAGCTACTGGGACATAAACCACCCGTGTGCTTTGCTTTTAAACTGACATCTCCCGTCCTCACTGAACTGAACGCCATTCCAAGGCCGTTCACGCATCTGCTGCAGTTGCGCAACGCTCGGTAGCATTGCAGATGCGAACAACTCCACTTGGACACCCAACCTCGGACATGACGGGACATGTCGGAAGTACAATGCCTCTTTGGATTGACTTTCCTGCGTCTACCTTTGAATCAATTTGCTTTTGAAAGGATTTCGGGCCAGTGTCATCGCTATGAAGCCAGAATAGCATGCCACGTGTGCCATGACTTGGGCTCAACACGGCTTCTTAAGAAACACATTTGCAGCAAAGTTGCCGAGTACTTGTCTCCCGGACGAATTGGATGCCCTCTCTCAACAAGTCTTCATCGACTCCAGTGTTTCTCAGCTTGCCAAGTCGCGTAATTGGCCGATTTTGACTTTGGTCATGCGAAGTCTAGTAACAGTCCCTGGGGATTGAACACTTTTGCAGCAACAAAGTGTGTTTTAAGAGGAATAGCAGCACACATCAAAGATTGTGCTTTGTGAATGAAGAATTTTCAGTGTATCAAACTGACCTATCCAATTATCCAATCCTCATCAATGTTTCTTACTCGAAGATCTCAAAAAGGTTATCATCCAAGTCTCAGCCATACGTCTTGGACAACGCCTGTGCGGAGTTTTTGAACCAACCGCTGTCGTTCAGCTTCTCTTGCAGCCTCACTTGGGAGGCAGGCCTGAGCAGCTCAGCATCATCCATGATATTCACATATTTTAAACAAACTGTGAGATTGCGTGCGCCCAGAAACCAGTCTGATGTATTCTGTGATGTATCGTGAATATGATTGACTTCATCGTTATTGAATCTTCAACTTGCTCCAAATTATATACAAAAGACATGTTGAATCCATTGCGAAGTGCCCTCAGTACCCAACGTTGAAGGCGACGCCGTAGCGCAACCCTGACACTGGTCGTCCAAGCTGCTGCAGAACACGGACCTCATGTGCCAAGGTCAAGGCCATCAGAGGGCACATGGACACTAGAAACACAACAGAAACACAACAGAGCGGAAGTTTTTGATAGAAGTCTTCTCCACAATATATATATACTTATGCATAATACTTAATATATATATATACACACCTAATAAGGACCTGATACATCCTGATACTACTTTTGCATCAAACAACAAATATTTTAGCTTCGCTGTTCTTCAAGAATCTTCAAACCATTTAAGATACGGGTTGCCGAGGTGCAGCATCATGGCGAGGTCCATTCGGCCCGGTCACAAGGAGAACCTGCAACTTGCGGAGAGCAGGTCTTGCAATGTGGCGTAAAATGTGCAAACGCATGGAACATGATGTAACTGTCAAAGGGTGTAACAAGATACGGCAAGATGTCAAAGGTGCAACTGCGAAATCACGGCCTAAGAGCATGAGATAAAGCGATTAAAGCGAAAGGCACCAGCCACTCACCCACTCGTAGTCTGTCCACTCGCAGTCTGTTTGTGGAGTACACAGAATACAGGAATGATGCACAAAGGACTCTAAGGATGGTATGACTTCTTATGATACACGTACAGCATCGCACAGCATTATGTACATTGTACATTCACTGTACCATTTAAACAACCTTGGTCTTGCGGTAACAACCTGACCGTCTCATTGAGATCAAGCAACTCTGCGCACGCCGACTCTAGCGGCGTCCATGCACCATTCGTGAAAGGCCTCAAAGTGTTGGAAGCTGAAAGAAACTGCTAACTTTGGCATGTGCGCCATGGTGAGACTTTGCTGCGAGCTGGTAGCTGTTGGAAGTAATCCATCTTACCACAGGCTTCTGTTGTCGGGATTTGCACACAAGAATGAAGGAGAATCAAATCACTTGCTACATATCAATTTTACTCAACTTCATTCAAATTGACTGAATGCCGCCAAATTCCGATCCCTTATATTAGTCTTAAATAGTCTTAATCAGTCTTAGTCTATCTTGGTCCAAAGGGCTCTTTTGCCCCACACGACATCATGATCATCATGGCACATGATCATCAAACGACATCCCGCCTCTGCGGAGTTTGAACTTCGTTGATGCTTCAAGCCTCAAATCTCCACAGGAACATGGTGGAACCTTCAGGAAACTTCTACGGAACTCAACCAAGCAACTGTAGTGTACAGTGACCTCTACGCCCGGAAGCTCTTTCACAAGTATTCCGGCCTTGGCAAAAAGGAAGTACCATGAAGTACCACTATATCATAATTATATATAATTAATTATAATTATAATATACACAGCCCTTTTTTGGCTCAAAGTCTATTGGCATGAGCCAAAGACCATCGAAGACCACCATTTGTCTTGCGATACAATTACTCAGATTCCTAGATACATCTAGATACTACCACGTGCTCCAAAAATTACCATTCATCCTTGTCTTTGGGTGACTTTTTTTTTTACGGACCACACCCTAGCTCGTCCCCTTAACTGCAGGGGTGGGGTAGTGGCCCGCCTGTCCGCCTAGTGTTGCACCTGGGTATTGAACCCGGGTCTGACGCATGAGGGATGCGTCTTATCCACTAGACCATACCGGCCCTCTGTCTTTGGGTGACCAATAGCATACTTCAAATGCCTACGCCGAGCCTACGCCATTGCATGAGGTAGCCTGCGCGGAGTAAGCCCTTTCAGGGGTGCCTATGCAACCCTGAGTGGTGTAGGTGTTTGCCTACGCAGCCATGATTCTTGATTGTTTTTTGTTGCATAATTACTTCCAGAAATAAATGGTTTTCAATTATTGTAAACGGTTGTCTACACAAAGCCTGGGTGCAGGCTAGAAAGAGCCTATGCCAACGCCTACGCAACCTATGCCGTCTGCATGGTATCATGTGCCCGGGGTATAATATTTCTTGCGGAGTGCCTGTTGATCTATTTTCCAGCATCCAGAAAAACCGCTACTTAAGTGGTGTGAAGCTCACATGCTTGCTAAGGTTTACAACTCAGGAAACCACACCACACATTATTATCCAATTCAAAACATCGGATGCATGACAGCTTTCCACATGAAGGTGCAAAGAAACTGAAAGTAATAAAAGCATATAAAAGCCTGCATCAGCCTTGAAGCAAATCTTGGGCGAACAACCAAGAGCTATCTACAGCCAAGCAACCCATTCAATGAGCGGCTCCCCTGGCTTCTTGTTGGGGATATTGAGGCCAGAAAGTACACCAGCACTTTGCGCCTTTTGGAGCAAACCGCGTGCATGCCTGCAAATCAACTCGAAGTGATGTCTGCACATGTCTACACAACAGCTGCATGACTGCATCAAGGTAACCGCAAGACTTTACACTGGAAATATCAGCTGAAACTAAAGAAAACTTTGTGATACTTTTGAGGCTTTGATACAACCATTGAGAGAAGATGAGACCACAAACGCCAAATCCAGTTATGTTCGATGGCCTCTGATAGCCTGAAGAGTCATGGATGCCCATAAGCTCCAGTCGGCATGTTGGCATTGGACCTGCACAAACTCCCAACATCCATCAATTGTTTTTTAAACATGCGATGATATTATTGCTATAGATTGCTACATATTGCTATGACATCCTATGACTTTTCTCACTGGGTGAAACGATGGAAAGCTATCGATCATCCCGACACCGTACCAACAGCCCTTGGTGCGCGAGTGATACTATTGATATCTATTGATATCTATTGATATGTAGTGATATTAGTCTTGCAATTCTCCCTTGTCAAAGCTGTGATGTGTAACTTTGCAAAACTCTGCATTCAAATCTTGTCAGCGAGAGCATCCATCCTGAATCTGAATCTGACCTTCCGCATCCTTCCGCAGCTTGCGGATCTGCAAATCATTGCAAATCTAATCAAATATATTCAACTAGAAATTATCAAAGGGCGGAAGTGGCCGCACCATGCCGCACCCTGTCAAGTTGGTGCCTCGTCGTCCGCGTCTTGCAAGTGCAAACAAAGTGATTGCCGCCGCTCGATATGGGAGGCTTTGAATGCTTTGAGACTTGGGCCCTAAGGTCGGACCGGAATTCGAGAGCTTTCATGGCTCTTCCATTTCATTATCAATAATTAATGATGAAAAATGCCCGAAACCTCATGCATGGCAACACATTTCAAAAACAAGGCTTCCTGGTGCCTTTCAAAGATATGAAACATAGAAACACAACGAAACTCAGCAATGGGTCCCTCTGCAACCCAGGTGCTCAGTGGACCTGGTAAGAATCTTCTTGACTTGTCACCGCTGGATCTTCCCTTGGCACGACATGAATGGCTTGGATTCGTGAAAGTCTTGGCTGGAATTGCCTAGTAGCAAGGAACGGAGCAGGTATTACAACATGACACAACACCGTGATTCCATGTGATTCCTGTTTGCAGTAACTTGAAGCCAGGAGGCCGGTTTATGATAAGGTGCGAGCCCTGGACCTCGATCTGGGAATCTGGGACCCATGGTGATGCTCTGTACATCTCTGTACCCTTTGATCAGCTGCAATGACTAATGCGATCCCTGGGATCAATGACCCATAATGACCCTGCGATCACTTGTCTTTTTGTTGGGTGTGCCAGAGAAAGCAATCAGTCTAAATATGTCTAAATAGTCTAAACTCTGAACAGGACCTTGCAAGAACCTTTAGGACAAATCTGTACAAAAACTTGTTGGGGTGGCTAGGGTTTGGCCACAACAATTCCATCAACTGCATCGCCTAGGCACTATATTTTGCTTTCAAAGACACCAACATTCGCAATGCAGCGCTTGAGAGGAACAATGCGAATTTGAAGCCCATTGCAGCGAGAATCGGAACAAAAATAACGGGCATGCGCAAATACGTTGACCTAACAAAACCATAACACCACTTGACTTCGACAGGAATGGACCTTTCGAAATTTTGCAAAACCTGGGACACTGCAAAGCTGGTCTGACAAGCACACATCTTGTTTTGCAACATTTTGAAGCAGGTCATTTCAGCGAGCGCCTATGACGCTTTCCGACAATCAGTGATTGTCTCAAGGGTCCGGCCAAATCCCAGAACCCTCCTGTAGACAAAACTGCTGGAACCCGACACTGAAACTTGCTAGAATTCTGAAAGCAAGAAGCAAAGCAATGACGTGCTCGAAACATGTCGAAACCATCTATATCTATGAGTAATATTGAGTAATATGAAACAAATGGTTTGAAACTCAAAGGCTGAGCAGAATGCGATGCCGTGTCGATTGACCTGGAATGTTCAAGGTCAATGAGGCGGAAAATTTGTGGAAGCAAGTGGAGTCCGGGGTTCAGGAGCAGCCAAAAAACATGATATGATACGTTTTGGTGTGGTATGGCATGGCATGGTATGTATGTTATATGTATTGTATGCGTACATATATATATATATAATTATATATATACTATATAATTATATATTATAAATATATATTATATTTACACATATCAGATCTTCCGCTCCGCCACATTCTGACTTGGCTGCACATGATCCACATGGATCCACATGGATCCACTTGCTTCCGGATCCAGCTCCAACAGCTCCAACGCTTTTAAATAGTCTGAGCTGCGCGTGCACGATTTGGTAAGGCTGGTAAGGTATGTCTCTCATTTTTTCGCAATTTCATATCAATCGAAAGAGGCTACGAAAAACAGAGCTCGGTGTGTGGTCGGGATTCTAAGCTTGCACCGAGTGAGAGTGAAAATGAGTGAAATGATATGAAATCTACACGATTTCTTACTCAGGCAGCTACCGGTGACTCATAGGCATTCTATCGCATTCTATGTCAAGCATTGCTGAAGCATTGCGATCTCACTGAGCGATCCCGACCCAAGGGCAATGAATTCTCTCATGAAGCACGACTCGTTCCGCGACTGACGCAGGGCGGTGGCCTAAAGCCGTAGCCTGTATATCCTGTTCCGTGACTGACAGACTCGACTTTGAGCCATTCAGGCTGAAGGTCCAGCAGTGACGGAAGCTCCCAAGTCACCTGTCAGATGGGTGCAGGTTTTGGAGTGCCTCCCTTCCACTTGCAAAAATACACTAAACACCACCTAACACAACCATGTGCAACCAAAACAAACCGAAACTTGTTGCAAAAGTTGGATCAAGAGCTGGAATGAGCTGGATATGTTGGATATGTTTGGCCAGGAATGAACTGGGCAGACCGAGACACTTCAGCTGCTAGCCGCACCACGAGGCGAGGAAGACCCCCACATGCGACCAGTGCTGGAAGCGAAGCAATTCTGCGCCTGAGCCAAGGAAATACCAAGGACCAACCGTCAGTGGAACAGTATGCTGTAGGATTATGTAGGATTCCTGTAAGAGACAAGGCTGCCTTGTGTGACTTCAAAGGTAGGAAAGGTAATGGAAAGGTTATAACGGGATGCTACGATTGCGGTGTCGAAGTTCAATGACCAAGGCGACCAAGGCGACCAAGGCGACCAAGGCGACCAAGGGGCAAAAGATCCTCATTAGGCCGCAATGGCTCTGCAGCCTCGGAGTTGCATGTAGCACTTTAATGCACTTTACACATGGCATCACATGGCAAGGCAATTTGATGCAAATTGCAGAATGGTTGGGTCAGGTGGACCCAATGGCACAATCAGGAGTTCTCAGTCATTGCATCTAAATGATTCTAAGTTCTAAATTTTAAATGCATCTACTGTACGTATATAAATGCATCTATATTTAAGCGAAGACTCTGAAGATTTTGTTTGATGTGGAAGGGAATTTCACTTTCAAGTGTCCAACTGCCTTTGCATAACAAAACATGGTTCGAGCAGTCGACCCTTGCACCAGCTCGATCAAGATCAAAATGACGCCACCAACTCAAATCCACCTCCTCTCACTGCAGCTGGGCAGCTGCCTTTGCAGCTGGCCATAGATCCAACGGAAAGAGTGGCCGATGCAGCCTGATTTGAACAGCACAGAGCTTTCACAAAGGACACACTTGGAAGTTCTGAGCAGCACAAAGCAGCCAAAGTTACAAGCCACTTCTGATTCATTCAACTCTGGACCTCAACTTGAGAGCTTTCCAAGAGGATATAACATGATAAGACATGATATAACTTAAATACTTGAAGATACTTGAAGCATCTTGAAGCATCTAATTGGGAAGATTTGAGAGCCCTGATGGTCCCGTTGCCTTTGAAGGAAGAGCTGGGCCGCCTTGCAAAAGGCGACCCGTTTCTTGGTTTTATGGTGCGAAAGGCGCGAAAGGCATGCCATTGCATCATATTGCATCATATTGCATCGATTGCATGCTCTTGGAGGCGTAGACTGAACCGCTTTCACTGATGAAACAGAGATTGAATGAAACATTCATCATCAACCTTGTGAAGATTGTGACGCAAATCCTAAGCCCAAAGGAGTCCAAAGGTCAGTTTTCGCATTACGCGACATCCTGGCAGATTTGCGGCCTCCACGTCTGGGAGCGGCCCCAAGGCAATGTTCACCGGCCTTAGTGCTATCGTGTCCAACGACATTGGAGGGAGCAATGCACCAGTTCTTGTCGTACCTCCTGGGTCCTGGGGCAATGTATTGTCCAATATTTGGCTTCTCGTCTGGTTTCTGGACATGGGATGACATGGGGTGTTGTTTTGCGCTATGATTTATGATTCCCCCCTGCACAAACATTTTAACACCACTTTTGATCACTTGTGCATAGTGCTGCAGTACATGATTCATTTCAGTGAATTTTGGTTGGAATATGTTGGAATCAAGACTTGGGGAGAAGGAACCTTCCAAAGCAAAAACACGACAAAGCAAAGTTCGGTCCATGAAGGGATTGGTGCTGAAAACAAAAGACTCAACCCTATCACGCAGTTTCAATTGTGGTTAATATAATTTTGACTTTTGTGGGTCTATCTGTGGCTTGAAATTCAAAGGCTTGAAAAGATTCCAAGGAGGACTGTAATCAATGCAACGCGTTGCTTCATGCTGAGCAGGTTTGAGAACGTTTGAAATGCTGAGCATTGCACTTCCACCTGTCTCCTCGGGTGATGATCGGTGAAATGTGGCAAATCTATTGAATCAACTACTGGTACTAAAACTGATATCTGCTGACATTGGTCAGCATTGGTCAGCCAATTTCAAGCTTGGCATATCTTGGCATTCTCATTTGCATATCTTTGCAGTCCTCCTTCACCATCAAGCCTGTACAACGGTGATCGCCTGATCGCTGCTTCCAAGGACAGTGCTATCCAGTGCCGATTGCTGACAATATCTGACAATCTGATCCGGGTCAACGAGCAATCCAGCCTTGTAATTAGAAGACACAGCTGCGGATGCTTGTCAAGTACTTCAGGAACAAACTCGTCTCTCCTCGGTAACAATAATCTAAAACATTCACTGCCAATAGAAACAAGACGAAACAAGTCCAGTCAACTCATCAGCTGTGCCGTTTTGCCCATTGCTCTGGCTGAGTCAATTTCCAGACCCGCAGAGTTTCCCAAGTGTCCCCACCAACCAAACTGCTTCTCCGCACGATCGATCAGCAAACCTGAACAGTTGTTGTCTCTGAAGGCGGCTGCACAGCCAAAAGGATGAGCAATGTCTTGCTGGGCCTGAACAGCATTGAACAATACCACAACAGTAGATACATCCATCAAGTTTCAGGGAAAATCAATATTGGTTTTATGATTGAGAATGCCGCTGTTGACAAACAATCGATCATAAATGATCATAATCATAATCACAATGATAAGCAACACACCATTCATCAAAAACCCAAGCCACACATGCAACATCAGCAGGGCATCGCACATGCTCGTCCATTGGAGGCAAGCCCAGCAGCCTAGGCCCAGATGGAGCCGATGAATTGGTTGGTTGTTACAACAGGATCTTTCAACCGAGTTTGCTCTGGCTCTGTGAACTTAAGAGCTTTGGCAAACCAAGCCGCAGCAGCGAAAATTGATAAGTGGGCGCAAGCCTCTGTGCCTGTGCCAGCAGAAGTTGGAGATCTCTAGAAAATTCTAAACATACCCTTAAAATCTGAAAGTCAAACTCATGTCTCAGCATTGCAGCCTGTCTCCGAATCCATCGATGAATTTTGCAAGGACCTCGTGGCGCAGTTGACGCTGTACTGCTCTTTGCTGCCTCTTCCTTGTAAATGTAGTGTTTTTTTGTTATGGGTGTTTATGTTTTGTTGGTCTATGTTGGTCTTTGTACTGCTCTTCATGCTTTATTGCTCTCTCAGCAAAATGCATTCCCTTTGAAGTTGCTCAGCGCCATGCACGTAAGCCAACCGGTGCCTGCCCTTGACCTTTGAATCGCAAAACAAAATGAAGTGCCTTCTCTGGCACGTTCAAGGTCTGAAGAAAACCTGACTCTCCTCCAACCAATTGTTCTCTATCTATCTGTCTGTCTGTCTGTCTGTCTATCTATCTATCTATCTATCTCTTTCTCTTGCAAACGGAGCAACATGGTGCAACACATCTTTACACACAATCAGGCGCAGCAAAATTATGTAGTTTTACTGCTGTCTTTCTGCTGTGCTCCACACCGGTGCAAATCTGCGCCCAGGAGCAGTTGCAAAGCGGCAAAGTTCTGCGCCTGTGGTCAACTCGCGTTTCAGGCGTAAGGGTTCTTGTATCCAATAAATTTCAATCAAATACACGAAAACAAATCAGGGCAGAACACGTTTCTTAGACTTTGAAGCTGCAGGAATGTGCATGAGGCAGGTCCAAGGATGTCTAAGGATGTCTAAGGTATCTCCGTCATATTGAAGAACTTAGTCCATCTTTCCTCCCCTGGGCTCTCAGAGCAAGTGTTTGACATGTTGGAACTTGTTGGAACTTGTTGGAAGAAGCACTGAGGCCAAGTCTGATCGCACTCTTCCCGATTCCGCAGGGTCCATGCAGGACGATCACACGCCGACCTTCAGTTGCCAAACGATGTCAACTTCGATGGAAAAACATCTGGCCAAGACACTACATGACTCCTACAATATTCAAAGCTCTTGTCTTTCCGCATCTGTTCTAACAAACATCAGCAAACTATTTTGAAGTCTACAGTTTTATGGATATTCATATGAATAAATATATATATATACATATTATGCATTATTATGCCATCGTCAAAACATTGCATATGACATGGGTTAAAGTAATCCCATTAGAAAACCTGATTGGCCATTCTAATTTCCTATACTGTAATCTCCTACTAATATTGGTAAGAACATCCATCATGATTGACAATATGTGGGCACAAAACCAGTTATAATCCATTGCCATATCAATCCATATAATCCATACATCAACCAGTTATCATCATATCAATTCATGTTGGTATAACCGTAAATAACCATTATACCCACCATATCATATGTTATAAATGTTATAATAATATCATATAATCACACATAATCCAACTTTTCAGCGATCAGTTGGACCAGCGAAAAAAGAAAGGGAGGGCGCGCTCACCTCTTGGCGCCCCAAGTTGTTGCAGAAGCCTTTGAAGGTCAGAACCTCGCCCCAGAAAGTCCTCACAATCCTGGCACCAGGGTTGTGTCATGTTGTTTTATTGTTGTTATCATATTGGACATGTAACAGTATGATACAGTATGTAACAATTTCAAGCTAGAGATTTAGATAGGTTTAGGAAAGAACTACAAGAGATAAGAACAGAGATATCTTTTTCAGGCATCTAGGGCCTAGGGACATCGAGGATACCAAAGAAATCTTCCATCCAAAGACATGGAAGTTCCTGGAAGGAACTCACCAGGACTTGGATGACTTGGGCCATGTTACAACATGTTACAACGCTATTGTCCTCTGGAAGGCTTCTGCTAGAGGTACTCACAGGCAGCGCTGGAACGGGTATTGGATCGTCCCGCTGCCATAGTCGACAAATGGGCCATGGCTGTTCCTTTGATGGTTTCAGGAAAATCAGGAAATGTACTGGTACAGTACATATTGATACATATTGGTCATAGCTTCTACATTGGTACACGGCTGGCCAAGCAATGTGTAGCGTATGTGTAGCGTAACATAGGCTGAGGAATGTGTGCCTCGACGTCACCTGCGACCACTCCTTGCTGGGCTGAGCCTGCTGGATTGAATCAACATCAACCAAAGCAGTGAGATCAGTTGGGACAGCACATATGGCCAAATGTTGTAAAATGTTGTAAAATGTTGTAAAATGTTGTAAAATGTTGTAAAATGATGTAAAATGATGTAAAATGATGTAAAATGTTGTAAAATGTTGTAAAATGCTGTGACATGTTGTAAAATGCTGTGACATGTTGTAAAATGATGTGAAATGACCAATGCCATACCATTAGCAATGAACCTGCCTCGGGTCTCAGGAGATATAGCAACTGGCACCCACAAATTGCAGCTCCTCGATGGTCACGGTCTTTGTTTTTCACTGTAGATACTTCCAACCGTCTGAACAATCGTGGAACATCGTGGAACACTGTGAGATTGTGCGAGTCCGAAATCATCCGAAATCCTTCCCAGCGGAGCAGGCGGAAGCGAACCTGCGACAGCGGAACAGCAATCACTGACAGCCAGTGCAATGAAAACGAACTGCAGTATGGAAACATATGAAACGGATACGTCGCATCTAGTAATGGTAAAGTGATGCAAAGTGTATTGTGTCTTGGTCCTCAGAGACAAACAGGCACGCTATGAAACTTCTCGGGCCTTTTTCTAGAAGAATCAACTGGGGTGCATCTGCGCGGATTGCTGCATTCGCAGAAATCTTCAAAGCCTGAACACTTGGATCACTTGGACTTGCACAATGGGAGGATGGCGTAGAACTGGCCCTGGGCTGTGGCACCTCTTTGGCAGCTCTGAAAGCTAATTGCACTCGAGATGCAAAACCTGGCCAGGATGTGACATGTGACAGGATCAACGACGCTGACTGCCAGCTTTCTGAAGTTTGCTGCCTAAGACTTCACATACTTCACGAGTGCCTCTAAAAGTATCCTAATTTTCGATCATTTTTCGTTGTTGTGTATATTTTTTCAAAAAACATATTTATGTATATTTGTGTATTCTCCGCGGACTCTGCAGATTCTATCCTTTTTGATCCCTTTCGCCTTCGGGCAAGAAGTTGGATGTCCTTGGCAAACTCGATTTCTCAAGCTTTCCACGTTCTGCATTTCGATCTATTTCGATGTTTAGCACTGCAACTCACTGCCGTAAGTCCAGCACTCTAGCCCTCTGCAAGCACAGTGAAGTCTCCGATAAAAGTGGGATGCAAACATGCGGGCGGTCGAATCACCTTAGCTTTGTCAGCACTGCTCCACGCACACCATTTACTTTACTGTAACAGTCACTATTTCCGCGCGTCGCTTGTTGGATATTATTGGATGGGTGGTTTACAGTATAGATCGGTATAGCATTGAATGCAAACTGCAAACACATTCAACCCTAGATATCCCTAGACCCTAGATCACTTTTTTTGCTGGAGCTCAAACGGAAAGATCTTGAGTTTGGAACCTTGTAAGACTTTGCGAGATCCCACGATCCCACCACTTTTTCCATCATTTTTCATCACTGAGGGTTCTGACGCAGTTGTCCCGTGGCAACGATTGCAAAGGATGCTCCAGCATCAAGAAGTGCACGGCCAGCCTGCCAAGAGGTGCAGCTGTTGCATGCCCAGAGATAGGTTTGCTGAGCCTGCAACACCCCACAGGATGTAAAAAACATGTAAAAAACATGTAAAAAAAAACATCAAAGTCTATGAAAACAATTCACACTGTGATCTCGCCTGCTCCCCATCGCAAGCCAGGACCGAAACACCAAGCGGCGGTGTTTGGCACTCGAAAAGGGCCTCAGGGTTTTGGCCATGATGGATCCTCAAGGCCAACTTTGAAGACTGAGCTGATCTGATGATCTGACCTCTCGAAATCCGCAGAAGTCTTTGGAGCTGGTGAGACGTTGAGACTGGAACTGACATCGATACTACTTGAGGAGCACCATCCTCGTCCTGCACTCTGACCCTCACCCAAAGCCTCTTGAGAATGCTACGCATTTTACGGGAACATGATGGAACATGTATGCACAAATTCAACCTGGTGGGAATAATCACTCAGGATATCTCAGGATACTGTCAAGCCCTTGCACATCACTTGTACCCAATACATCCCAATAGCAATCTTACAATTCTGGCTGATGGACTATGACGCAGAATGAGCCAGCAGGCTAAAATAGTGTCTGCTCAACGAACTCCCGTTGAACTATTTGACTATTTGGCATTGACAGCTGAATCAATATGAAATACGTGAAGCGTGTGCCCCGTGTCATCATCCTCAAGAATCAAACGACCAGTGCCGCCAGGTTCGCTGAGCAGCGATGTGCCACCAGCTAGGACCTGCAAGCTCTATAGTTTTAACATGTTTTGAATTGGGAGGCAAACGATGGGAAGCAACAATATGATCAATATGCATCATTATGCAATTTCCATCAATGTCACCAACTCCATCAATGGATGGTTAAGTGCTGGCAGAGGCATGGACGATTGTGGTGGTAGGATGTGTCAGAATCAGCAAACTTAAAACTCGGCTCGGCTCCGACCGCGTTGTGTTTCACACGGCGCTGTTTTTGGCAACAGAAGCGTTGGAACTGCCACCGCCTTTGCAGTGATTATTCCGTCCAGACACTACGAAGTACCAATGTTTCATGCTTCGCGAGCACAGGGACCGTCTGTTAAGTCAAGCAGTTCACAGGATGCTGTGAATAGTTCCTCACGCTGCTTTGTATGAAGGATCATTCGTGTAAGTGTACTTCAGTGCCTGTCTACCGCCCAGTTTCTGCACGATCTGTCATGTCGGGTGTGTGTGTGTGTGTCCTGGTGAAACTTCTCCAAGAAACACTGTCCCACTTTATTCCAGCCACCAATCTCCTTTTGAAAGGCCGTCAATCCTCCATCCTCCAACAATCTCCAACCCGAAACTTCGACTGTCCTCTTGCAAGAGGCGGTTGGAAGCAGTAGCAGAAACGCTGGCCACTCCACAGTCCTCCGCCTCAAGATGTACCGTGCTGAGCGTCATGCTGTGTCGGCTTGATCGGATACAATTCTCACACTCAATTGTCAAAATCTAAGAGAAGCAGAGTGAAAGTAGAAAGCAACCGAACATACTACTGACCCATCTGAATGCAGTCACACATAGTCAAACAATGTCAAACTATCTTGTCTGAACAGCACCATGTCCCGTTCCCAACTAGCCTGCTTGCCGCACTTCACCAAAGGAGGTGACAGCGATGAGTAGTAGCGGCCTGATACCGCCTGAAGCAAGGCCAGCATTCAAGTGGCTTTGAAACAGTCTTGGTCCCTGCCCTGGTTTCGATACATCATATATACGGACTTGACTTTTATAGTATCAGAGAAGTTTGATGTTTGTGTCTGTGGATCAAATGAAATGTTTCAGGAACGTGGGAGAAGTATGTAGAAGTATGCCATTAAATATACCGATCACTCCACCATCTCCAACTTCTTGATATCACTGTCCTGCACAGAAGGATGTGTAGACACGTGAATTTGCGTCTTTGGCGCATCCTCCTGGCAGAGCAAGCGTGTTGAATGGCAAGACACATGACATCATACGACATCATACGACATCATAGGACAATATCAATGCGACTTGATCTGATTTGACCATGTTTGACCTGGAAGTGTCTCCTCGGACTGCATAAAACCAAGCAATTTTGCGAGAGGCTGCAGGATGTAGGTGAACAAGTACCTTTGAAACCAGCACTTCCCAACTAAGCATGTAGGCTCAGAAAGCAAGCGGAGGCACTTTTGAGGCCCTTCAAACCTTTCATGTTTTTCCTGAGTCCTCAGCATCAAGACAAATATCTGAACATATCTGAACCAATCCAGCAAGCTAAGGAGCAAGAGCTGTCATCACCATTCATCACCTATGATCGCAACAACAGCTTGAGGCAACCGCTGAGCAATGGCGGGGTGCAAACTATGGATGACGACCTCGCAAAGGTCCGTCTGCTTGTCACAGCTTTTCTGCTTCCGACCAAGTCTCAAAAAAAAAACAGTTCACACAGGTCTTGTAGGACTGGAAGATCTGGAAGACTCTTTTTATATCATAATATCTGTTTTTCAACACTACTGATTGATTTCTCTCAGATGTCTTCCACTTGTTCCAGTCGTCCAAGCGAAAATACTTGGTCATAAGGCCACTGCATGTGGAGGCAAACGTCTAGCTAAGGCAAGTGTAAACAGCACCTGGAAGCGAAATCAATTCTGAAAAGCCGACAACTGCACAGTTTGCATTTTCTGAAAAACCAACAGCCTGTCAATTTGCAGGCCCTTAATCAAATAGGGTATGACTGTATGATGTACTTACTAGTCTTAGCTACGCTAGATAGTCCCATAGTACTGGTATCACTTTCAAACGGATATTTACACACTATATATTGTTTGGTCTTTACATGCTTCAACTACTTCAAGTCTTGTCGCCGTTTTGTCATTGCTTCCCAAGGTGTCAATTTGCAACATTTTGCAATTACCTTTTCGGACTTTTTGCACCTTTTCGTCGCGCAGTTGTTTTACTGCTCCCCTGGCCTGCGCTAACTTGGAATCGGCATAAGAGCCAGCGAGATTGCCGAGCATTGGCATTTTCCTGTGCATTGCAGGTTTCTTCCACGGCAATCGAGAATGTCACTGCCAAATGCATATAATCCCCGGACGCTGGCCTTTTTGGAAAATCCAAATCCAGCACTTTTCTGCTCTTCAAATCCTGATGCATACAACTTTTGCCACGCGTGGTTGAAACTTCAGCATGTACTGTACCTGGCTTGCAATCAATCAGGAAGTTTCAGAAAGCGCCTCTATGCTGATGTTCCCCCACCTCAGTCGAAAGGAAGTCTTAAAATCATTCGGTGAACATCATCAACCGTCAAAACGGTACTGACCCCCTTTGCACACGCCGACTGAGTCCTTGGCTCATGTGCCTTTGCAGAAACATATACGATACGCCCCGCAGGGCTTTCCTCCAGGTGAGGAAGCAAAAGCAGTGTGAGCAAGAACCTCAGAAATGCAAAGACTGGGGCAGAAACTGCTATCAACTACAGGATACCAGTAAACCATAATGGTTATTTGTGAATATATATATATATGTATGTATGTATGTATGGATGGATGGATGCATGCATGCATGCATGCATATATATTATACAATGTAATATTTGCGTACTACACATATACACATGTATATATATATATATGCACTCAGACACCCTTCTGCTTCGACACACGGTGCTAGCGCCACCTTTTTCTCTGCAATCACCGTGCCCTTTGATAAAGGCATCCAAAGCCACACCAGGATACCAAACCCAGGCTAGCCTCGCATGTGGAGGACAACCCAGGCTAGGGTATCATCCCCTTCCACGCGCCCCCTGCTGGCTCACAGACAAGTAATGTCGTGTGGCACTTTGGATGCGAGGGTGGGCGGCTGTGGGGATTTGTAAAGTGGCCAGTGCCTGTAGGCCAGTGTCTAGGTAAATTCTGGCAGTGTGGATGTGCTGCCATCGGCCTTTTGTCACCAGCTCATCTAGTGATGCACCATTTTTATATGCACTGGTGGCACCACCTCTCCTAAGAGAGTAGGGCTTATAAAACCCTTCTGGGAGGCCGAGGTCAGCAACCACTGAGTGCCAGGTATCCATAAAAGATCTCCTAGACTCAACCCAAAACACGGGTGATTGCTTTGACAGCTTCATCAGTTCCCTGAGCGCATGCAGGGCTGACGGCTCTGTCAACTCCAGGCGTTCTAGAGGTAAGAACGCCTTCTTGGTTCCTTTGGAACTGGATATAAAGACAACAGCTTTATTGTTGCCAAAAGTGATGTCCTTTGGGCCCAAGGAGAGCAATTCGCCTGTCCTCAGGAAGAGTGCAAAAGCCACGATCACCAGCCAAGCAAACCTAGGGTGTTTCCATTTTAGGCCTACACCCGCAAAAGCCAACACCATTTGCGGTGACATAGGTGTGGCACGGTTGGGAAGCTCCACTTGATTCCATACCTTTACCAGCTTCCAACTCCATGGGATGTGTTGCTTTGACTGTGGCTTAAAATGTTGTATGGCGGCCAAAGTGTAATTTGCCAAGGACTTGGCCTCACCGGATTCCCAAAGGACTTCCACATACTCAGCAACCATTTCATCAAAATCCTCAAATTGAGGTAACACAAAATTGCGTTGCAGTTGGTGAAACCGGCAAAATGCCGTGAAACATTCGTGGTACCTCCTTTCTGTCTTTTGCCCCAACACCTGATGGCTAAGTTTTCCCAGTTCTCTCCTTGCTTGTGCTCTCGACTCTTTGGTCCTATGACCTTCAAGTACCCTCGTAGGCATAGCGTCTGGAAGGTTCGTCTGCTGGGTTGTCTTCTGATTCAACCCAGCCACAGACGGGGTAAATACCCGCCGCCAGTTGTAGGGCGGCAAACCTTCGCAGAAGTCGATTGAGCACTTTGGCACTGGAACGTCCCTTGACGACCACCGCCAACGCCACCATGGAGTCGGTCAGGTGTAGTGCCCTGCAACGAGAAAACTGGCTTGATCTTACCCTCCATTCGAAGGAGTGGATCAGCGCTCTAAGCTCCAACACATTTATGTGCTCTGAGCGCTCAAAGGGGTAGGCTTGAGCCGGATGCCACAGCCATCTTGATGGATCGATGCTTCCGCGGGGGAAGGAATCCGGCCGGAACAAACTTCCCAAATCCAGCCGCACATCTGATCCACGGAACTCTTGTCTTCTGACAAAAGCTGCCACCAGCTTGGAACTCAGCTTCCGTTCCTTTTCAAGTAATTCTTCATCCGTTGGAAATTGTTCTGACACTTCTTGAATGGCGGTCATCTCCAACTCACCGGCCACCGTCACTTCATCATCCTCACGGCCTCTCTCCACCTGCTCGGTGTCTGAGAGGTCATCTTTGACTGGCGCCTCTGGTTCAGCTGGCTGCTGGGCCGACCGGACAAATGCAGCCACGATCTGCTTTGCCCCGATCAAGGGTTTCAAACCCATCTTGAAAAGCGCCAGGTCAATGAGACTGGCCACCGTGTTTGTGTGAAACGAATTTCCCAGTGCAGCGCAGCGCATATCTTCTGCTGCTTGTACTTCATCTTCCCCTTGAGGGGTTTTCTTTGACAGAGCTGCCGTGTAGCCCCTTGGAAACCCCATGAGGACCTCCCTTTCAAGGGCTTTCAGCGGTCTCAGAATCCCATCTTGTTTCACCATGTAGACTTCAGCATAGGTGTACGGCGGGTAGCGGAACTTGTCTTCCACCCAACGTTGCTTCGCCACCTCGTCAGTTCCGCTCAAGCCGGCTGGTGATGGTGGCGGTTTCTTGCGCGGAATTGCCCGCGTGAAGGTTGGAAACCTGACGGAAACGTCCTGGTCGGTCTATGACAAGTAGCTTTGATTTTCCAGCTTTCCTTCTTGTGACCCCGAGGGTGGCGTCTGGATCCCATGATCGGCCAGGCGCATGGCTTCCTCTTGCCCAGCCCGTGTGAGCCTCGAGGAAATGCACATTCCTCCCCCGGTCTCACAGGCATCACTGCAGGTCACCACAGGGTCCACCCGCGCCTTCAGGTCAAACTGAGCAAGAGGCAGCATAGCCTCTAGCAAAAGCATTTCTTGCTGCAGCGCACCGCTGATCACAATCTCCTCAGCACCCCTTGCAATTTCCACAAAAATCACCTCCATCACAGAAAATAAACATCTCCGAAACTGCAGAATGTGGACCGCCTTTCCAGCGTACACCTGCAAGGCCTTTCTTGGGACCTTCTTGAGAGATCTGATCCAAGAACCCAATCCGTACAGATCTAGGCTCCGCTTTGCCTTGGTCCTCAGCACTCCATTCTTTCCATCTATCAATGAGCCAAGGCGTTCAGCTTCTCTCACCCGCTTCAATGCCTTTTCCGCATTGACAGGTATGCCCCACCAGGCATACGCCTTCCGCAACTGCTCTTGCTCTTCAGCCGGCTTTCCTTCCAACTCAGCGACCACACACTTCTCAACTTGTTCGATCACTGTCGTGTCGTCCAAGTAGATGTTCCAAGCCGGCATCTCGCTCAGGTCTGGAAAAACTGCTGCCCTCGAAATTTCGGCCAGGGCGCTCAGACCAGCGCCTCCAAGGGCCCTGCTTCTCAGGGCGATCTGCCGGTGTGCGGCCTGCATGAGGCCAACTGCTGAGGCCCAGCCCATCGGCAGTACGCATACCCCTAAACGGGTCATGCCACTGCCTTCGAGGTCCAGCGCCTCCAGTGGCACCTCCTTTTCTATCACCATGTAGTCAGCCCAAGCCTCAGGCAAACGGAAGAGATAGAAGGCTGAGGTGAGGTCTTCGCCAGAAACCAAAAGCTCATGCTGGTCCTCAATGATCAGCCTCTGAAAAGATGCAGCACCCGTCAATAGCCCGGTGTCGCCCTGGATCTGGGCCATGAAGAAATTGGTGCTGCGGAGGTCTATGATAAAACGAAGGACGGGGTCCCCCTCTGGTGTCACCTTTCCAGGCTTTGGAACCCCAAAGGCCCCGTTGAGGAGCTTGACGCCCTCCATTTCAGGGCACCTGCGGACTGGCCTAACCAAACCTCTCTCGTAGAGGGCTTTAGCTATCTTGTTCCACTCTGCACTGGATGCATGAACCTTTGGACGTGGTGGTAACCCTTGTGGAGGGCTCAGCACCAGTTTCTCCGGGTGCTTCACTGTCTCCTGGAGCTCTTCTGGCAACACCGCAAGGATGTCTACCAGGCCACCATGCTCCGGAGAGGGCAAGCCCGGCAAAACCTGATTCAGGGTGAGGGGGACCGCCTTTTCAATCACCTCACCGGTATAGCTCACCCTAAGTGAGTCAATGGCCACGTCCCAGTCTTCCATTGACGTCCGCGGTACCCCATTGGCCTCCTTCTCATCAATGAAAACCCGGACCAGCTCCCACAAGGTTTCAAGGGCCCTCTCCTGTGGGGCCGTGGCCTGACCACTGGGCGTAGGCCTTGTCCCCACTGCCCTGTCACCATACATAAAATTCAGCATCACGACAACAAGGCCATGCCACGCCCGGAGACCCTGGCCTCTCAAAACCTTGGAGGCTCGACCTTTTGTATCCCCTCGCTTTCGCCAGTCACCCGGCTCATCTTTAACCTTCATCTCATCTAAAATTTCATTCAAGGCCTCCCTTCCATCATACCACAACGGGAGAGGAAAGAGATTCTGCATCCTCCCCTCTCTCGGTGACGGGGATTGCAGAGACCAAAGGAAGTATTCCTTCAGGGGGCCTTCAACTGCCATCAACTGCAAGGCCAGGTGTTTCACCAACTGAGCGGAGGATAACCCTTTGGGGGGATTGTCTGACAGCCACTCCCTCAAAAGGGAGCTGGCCGCCGCATTCAAGTCAAGGTCACATTCCTCCGATTCTTCCCGTCGTCGGCGTCTGGCCTTCCGGCTTTTCGGAAGTTCTTCCTCCTTTCCTTTTGCTTCTGTATCCACTGCTTTCGCCTTTCTGCTCTTCTTCCGGGGCTCACTGGATTGCCTCCTGTCTCGCTCCCTGTAGAGTTCCTTGGGCTCGGAGGCGGCCCTTCTTTTTCGGGATCTGACTTGTGGCCGATCGTCAAGGACGTCAAGGGGTGGCCCTCTTGTCGGGAATCCTGCCGGCGCCTTTCCTCGAAATGGACTCTTGTCCCTTGCTTCTCTGGGCCGGTCCTCCAAGCGCTTGGGCGCCGCTCGGCCGGAGCTTCTTGGACGTGGGGGTGACGACTCACGGACTTCCCCGTCCCCGGGTCTAGCCCGCTGCCGACTCCCTATTTCGGTCTTTGCAGCTTTGCCAGACTCTCTCTCAGCTTGACTGCTTGGAGTTCTGACCTGGCGGCCATGTGGCGCTCGTCCTCCCTCGTGAGCGATGCCGCCGAGGGGGGAATGATCTCCAGATGCTTCGCGGTATTCCATCCCCCTTCCTGGAAGGATGCCTCGACCGCCTTGAAGCGCTGCATGAGCAGATCCAGGCTCTGCTTTAATTGGCCCGCCAGAATGGCGTCTAGAGCCATGGCTAGTGTCACCAGCTCTCTGTGGGACCGGACTCCTATCTTTGCGGGCTGGTGATTCACAAGGACGACCTGATTCAAGTACGCCATCACCTTTTGCCCGCTCCAGGCGTTCTCGTCCTCGGCCCAATCGGTCCGCTCTGATAAATAGCGAGTCATCTCGTTGAGAGATCTGACCGCCAGGTGCCCGGGCTTCTTTTGGGCAACTCGCCAAAGGTCCCCTCCCCGAGCTGAGGTTTTCCGAAAATGCGAGCTCCCACTGGACCGACTGGAGTCACTGGACCTCTCTCGTCTGTCCGTCTTGTCTGTCCTGCCACGTTTCTTTGACCTGGACCTTTCAAGCTCCTTGGTCCTCTCAATCCCCTTTCGGAGATGCTCATCCAAACTCCTCGTCCTTCCCCTCTTTTCACTGGGTGACTGAGAGTGCCTTCGCCTCGGGCTGCGCTCTCTAGCCTGACCTTGTGCCGGTCCAATGCTCTCAACCGCCTTCCTAGCGGCTTCCACTGCAGCTTCCAAGCCGGTTCCCCCTGGAGGGTCTACCACTGGTGCTGCCATCTTGGCTTGAGCCTTGGCCTCAAGCTGCTTTCGGCCCAGCCGCTCACCCAGCGGGCGCAGGTAGGCCGCATTCATCATGGCCGCAGGACTCAACAGCCTCCAATGATCCAAATGGACCATCTCACGCTTGTCACCCCTCGCCAGCTTCATTCGGCAGCGCTTTTGCTCACCACTGCATATGTGGTAGACTGCACCAGCTGCCAGCGTGTTGTCAGCGTACCATTGGTAGTACTCGTCTGAGGCCTCACCATGCTCAGCTGTCAGGAGTCCTTGCACTTGATCCTCCCAGCTTCGTAGCTTGATGATGGCCCTTCCTTGTGGATTGCCGCGGTCATCATAGCAGGCATATTCCACGTAGCGGCCAGACTCCATGGTCTCTACCGCTATGCGCAGGGCCTCAGGGCCCAGATCAGCCGCAGTGACCCAAGAGGCATCACTTGCCGGCCTCTCAAGTCGAAGGGCCAGGTCCACCTCATCCACGGTCAGACCCAGCTCCTTCCCATATTGCTTCAGGGCATCCATGCCCCACTCCAAGGGCACACCTCCCTGAGGAGGCTGTGCCCAGCTTCGACCCTTCCACTGTGAGCCGAAACTCCGCATGCCGGGTGCTCGTGCATAACCCTCCTACAGGATTCATCATATACACATGTATATATATATGTGTATATATATATACATATATATACATATATACACATATGTATATACATATATATATGTACATATACATAATATATATATATATACGTTTCATATATATATAATACATAAACACATATACACATATACTAGTAGTATACACATATACATATATACAAATATACATACAAACATATATACATATACAAATATACACATACACTAATTATACACACACATATACACATATACATATGTGCTATTGCAGAATACTTAAACTCCAAATGATGGCATATAGATTGCATATGTACATATGGCGCATATATATATATATATGTATACAATATATGATGATGAAGGCAAATCATATTCATCTTATGTATTTATCGATATAGAGTACAAGTAAAAAACAACAAATACGATGAGCTGCAATAAAAGTACCTACAGTATATATATATATTATATTAGAATGTATATCAATTCAGTAAACTGATATCTGAAGGTAGTTGATTGAGGAATCGGCACTCTATGCATTGGTTCGGTTGTCCAGCTATTTTTCTAATTTTCTCTTGAATCCTGATATCACATTCCACTTTCTCGAGGAACAGTCAATCCAGAATCTTCAAATCAATCAAAGTAAGTTTGAGGATCACCCCTTGGGCAACATCTTAGGCACTGGCGTTGAAAGGTAATTGACCTACACAACAAATCAATACAAATCAAGGCATTCAAACATGTTTGACAAGTAGAAACTGCCTTTAGCATCAGTTGACGTAGATTGTTACCTTGCATTATATTGCATGGGTATGGTGATGTCGATCCATGCGTTGCATGACAAGCTAGATTTCTCGTGCCTGCAAACACTCTTCGAAGCCGTCCTACAAATATTCTTGGACAGTTGTGTTTGTAGCAAGAGTCAGCAAAGAACCGAGTAGTAGAAGGACTACCAAGGTCTGTGCAAAGCTTGAATTGCGTTGCGTTAACCAAACTGGCAGTGATAGGAATTGACATGATCACAATTTGCAGTGTTAGGAAACCACTGTTCAGTAGCATTTCTCCAACCCTTCACTGCATTGAAGGTCCTGAGTACGGATGGTGTCTTCAGTACCCAAAATAGCTGCGTTGTGCACCAACACATCCTTAGCTCAAAGCCAAAAGGACAAGAATGCGACTGATGCCTGCCATGCACCGGCTTTAGTGCCTGAGAGGCCAACAAGTGGCCCTTTGTACTGCTCTGTAAAATCTCTGACGCTTTGCAGAGACGCAAGATCCATTTCCATAATCACCTGAGTCGAAGATGTCAATGATGCCACACAAACAAGCTATGTAATCTATGTAAATTGGAAGATATCCATGCTGACAGCAATGTCAAATCTTTCCTTCCGGTGACAGACCGCGCTAGACTATTAGACAGGAGACTGGTGGAGGCGCGCTTGGGTGCTCCTGTTGAATCTTGACGAGGTGAAATGCAAAAACAGTGAGCAAATTGGGAATTGGATCAGATTGGCAGGGATGTCGACACCAACCAAGGCCTTCTTTAACCTCACTTCCAGGGCTTTTCCCTTCTTCATATCGCGCACCTCAAAGACCCGAACTTGCACTTCTAAAGTCATCACGGAAGAGTCCTGAAGATATTATCGGATCCTCAAATCAGTGGACATACGAGACACAAACTTGAAGGATGTCGGTGCTTTTGTACATGACACATTGTCTGCAATCCCTAAGCTGAAATCCCACAACAAGCAACGCAATGTACCAAACAGCAAAATATACAAAGGGAAAAACTCCAGTCACTGCGGCCAGCCAGATTGTATGACTATTAGGACTGCTATTTCCATATAAGACTGTATAAATCAATATATATATATATATATATTATAAATATAAATCATATCAGATCATATCAGTCAAAGCAGTCGCAGCATGAGTTGAAACATGTTGTAATATACTACTAAGGCTGTTCGAAATGGGTTACATAGGTCTGCTTAGGTGGAGTTTGCAACATGGGTATTTGATATGTCCAACAAACTCAGGGCACGGCAGGGAGAATTAAAGTTGCATTCCATCCAGCCAGCACCTACTCTGCCAATCCCCCAATTGCCAGGCCGGGATCGAATATAATCTTGATTGAATTGGGACATGATGGACATGGTTCCCCATAAATCACATGATTCTCAGGGACTGTTGAGACTCGCATGAAGAAACAATCACATGGCTTGCAACCATGCACTGTATGGAATATCCCTGCCTTACTGCCAAGGGAATGTCGAGGGAAGCCTTTTTCAAGTGGGTCAAACAACCTCAAGATAACCCAAATGGTAATTTCGCAGGAAAGTAAAGAAACAATAAGAAACAGAAGAGCAAAAAATAGTGTGTCCAGGCACCCCAAAGATGATTTCATATGATTTCCAACCTCTCACATTTTCATGGAATATCATTCGGACCCAAATTGCTTTGGAGAATGAACAATCCAGTTGACAACTAGTTTTATAACTAGTTCAATCCGCAGTTAAATTCTACAACAGAACAACCCTCCGTAAGCAAACAAAACACATCGCTGCCATCTTGTCACAGATCGGGTTCAAAATGTTGGGATGTTCACTTCACGTACATATTCATGTGCCATGTTCATCCATTTTCTTGGGTGTGTTGCAACAATTTAAACAACAAATCTTGGGGCTGTGTGACATCGGGTCATCGGGCCCTGGCCTTCGCTTGCATCAAACCAAGGCCAGAAGTAGCGCCCGTTATGAGCACCCGCTTCCCTCGCATGTCGACTTCTTCCAGCTCGCCCAAAGGTGGGGTTCTTGCAGCCTGCCAAGCGACCTCAGGATTGAGGTTGCAATCTGGTTCACCGCCAGCCACAATGACGGTGGAAAATGGTGGCAAACAAGTCAGGTGTCGAATTTGAATAGGCTCTGAAATGCTCGTGTCATCTCCTGTCTCTGATGAGCTTGCGGCTGCTATGGCAGCAACCAGGAACGGCACACACCTTGAAACTCTTAAGATCTGTTGACCAGCGACTTGTTGAAAAAAACAGTGTCTCAAAGCCTGGGGCTGGCGCATGCAGCTGAAAATGGTTTTGGTCGTGGTCATGCCATTGGCCGGCGTTTTGGAAGATGCCACCATGGCAGCACCAATGAGACGCTACTTATGACAGACACGTCATTCTATCAAACTGAGGCGGGCTTTGTTTTGCACATTTCAAATGACAAAGCCTTCTTTCCTGCTAAAAGACAGCTCCCATTGCATACTTCAACATAGGTGGATCTAGCCCTTGGAAAGCCTTGACATTGTGGCTACAACGCATGGTTGATCATGTGCGAGGCTCAAGCAACTACGATGGATTCAAGCTGCAACAGAGCCAGAATCAGCAAGCATTGGCTTTGCGGACCCCTGCCGAGGCGCATGTGCTGAGCTTTTGAACTCAATCAATTGGTGCTTTCGCGGTACAACGCAAGCTGCTAAGCTAACTGCCACTGCGTTTGCAGCAGCGGTTCCGGACGAAGATCTGCGAAGCACCAGCTTTCATGCTTCGCTGCAAAGACCGTCTGTCAAGCCAAGTAGTTCACACGATGCTTCAAAGAGTTCCTGGCTCAATCTCTCTACACAAATGCCAGCGAAAGAAGGCCATCAACGCTAGTTATTCTGATTGCATCACAGTGCATGCATCAATTGAATAATGTGTTGATGAGGGGCCACACACACACTTACATGCTTGTTCTTCAAAAGAAATTAAATACTAGTTTGATATATGATCTGTATGACTCTATAATATATATATATATATATATTATATGTAATTATATGTATACATACGTATAGACTGTCCTCTTGCAAGAGGCGGTTGGAAGCAGTGGCTGAAACGCTCGCCACTCCACAGTCTTCCGCCTGGAGTTGTGGCTTGTGCTGCTTGTTTTCGCACCAAATGGATGATTTCTACGTGTGACGGAGACTGAAAGGGTAGAAAAACTGAAACCATTCCTGAAATTGTCCGACCGTCTCAACAGCAGCATGGCAACTGCTGATATCGGCGAAAAATCTTCTGATTTTAGACCGGCCTGCATGCCGCAATTCACCAAAGGAGGTGACAGTGCTGAGTAATAGCGTCCTGATGCCGCCTGAGCAGAGCAAGATGGCGAGATTGGTCAAACATTGCTCTCTTGTAGCACATCGTAAACTTGAACAGCAAGGATGCGGATAGAAATGCTAGAAAGTACAACTCAGCTCAGCGGTGCCCATCCTGCACGGAAGGATGTGTAGACACATGGATTTGAGTCTTTGGACCATCCTCCTCGCAGTGCACGTTGAAAGGCACCCATGTCTGACAACTCTGACAGTCGATCTTGAAATATTGGACATATCTTGAAGATCTTGAAGATCTTGAAGAGTCTTGAAGAGTGTCCTCTGACTGCATGAAGCCAACCCATCTGGCAACAGGCGTCATGATGTAGGCATGCAAGTACCTGAAGCCCGGCAACAAGCCCGGATGCGTACCACCGAGCCTTCCCAACCCGTGACATGATGTGGGCTGAGTAGGCTTAGGCACCTCTCCAGCCCTCCAAAGGATTCATGAGGAAGCAAACCAGTCCTTAACGGATGTTACTGCATGTTACTTCAGCTTCCTGCGTGTTACATCAGCATCAAATACACTCGAGTTGAAAACACAAGCAACTGTAATTCCAACATCCACAGTTTAAGAGTTTAAGGCAACTGCGGAACAATTGCAGGGTGCAAGCTGTGGGTGACAACCTGAGCATTTACGTCTGCACCAAAGTGATGAGTTTGGCTGATTGTGGTATCATGTTGATTCTCTGTATCGACGTGTTACCGCTTTTAGAATTTCGCTTGGAGCCACAAACGCTGAACCACAGTCTCAAGAGCCCACATTGCTTCAATTGATGGATCACTTCCAGTTGCCAAGTAAATGTCCTTCGATCATAAGCCCGCCACGTTTGGAGCCAAACGTCTTGCTAAGGCGAGTGTAAACAGCACCTGCAAGCAAAAGAAATGCTGGCAGCTGTTGCATTAGATGGTGGCTAAAGCGGCTAAACGTTGTGGTCAGAGCGTTGGTGCCATTGAGATCCAGTTGTAAAAGGCGAATTGCCAGCCATGAACATGATTTCATATGATTTCTGTTCTTTTCACCTCGTCATGTTTCCAGCCTTTTCCAAAAAATATTACTTTCTACAACCCATACCTTCTGAAACGTTTTGAAACTTCATTGTGCATCCTTCTGCTGTCTTTTCTCATGGAGCTCTTTGCACCTGCGCTAGCTTAGAATCGGCGTAGGAGCCACCAAGGTTCCCCATCATTCGCATTTTCCTCGGGTTCGGGGTGCTTTTTTCAAGCAACCACCGAGGATTCCGACAGGAATCTGACCAGGCCTTTTTGGAAAATCCAAATCCAGCACTTTCCTGGTCCTCAAATCCTGGCGTGTGAAACGTTCAGTGTGGTTGAAGCTTTAACTTGGAAGTCAGCGCCTCTATATTGATGTTTCCCCACCTCAGTGGCAGATGTGGCAAAATGTGGCAAAGCTCAAAAAACAACTTACTTTAAAGACAGGAATCAACAACAAAGAAAACGTAAGAACACTAGCCTCAAATGACGACACTTGTTTGTCCGACTCACTGTGACTCGTTACTCGCCTCGTTCTCTGAGTAAATGACTCATGGGCCTTGGCCGAGACGTGTACGATGCGTGCCTCAGAGCTTTGCTCCAACCGAGGAAGCAACAGCGATGTGAGCAAAAACCTCAGCCCGTGGCCGTGGCAGAATCATTGGTCCATGGCAGTCCATGGCCTTCCATTCTAAAGGCCTACCATAGGCTACCAGTTTACAATGTTTACAATATACAGAATATACATCTCAGGCATTGGCGTTGAAAGGTAATTGACCTGTCCAGAAAATAAAGGCAATGTATGCAATGTTAAAGGTGTCCTCTGCTAGCATCATTGATATCTTGCATTTTGCACAATAGTATCTGTGTATGAACGCATTGTCAACTAAGAGCTGTCGGCCTGCAAACACTCTTCGAAACCATCCTGCAGAAACAAACACAATAGGACAGAGAATAGTAGGACTCAACACTATCTTGGTACGATTAATCAATCGCACGGAAGAGCAAACACATCTAAATGGAAGAAAACTTACACTTCAGGTTCATGTGCTTTGAAAGTAATTGAATGTAACATTATGTAACTATGACCGTCTTGAGAAACCATGGGTCAGCAGCATCGACTGTCCTGAGTACGGATGAGGTCTCCAGTACCCAAAACAGCGGCATTGTGCACCAACACATCCTCGGCTTGGGACCACAAATTCCTAGCCGCCTGGCCCGTATCCGTTTGACGGACTGAGCAGATCTGAGCAGCAGGCAACTGGCCCTTTGTACTGCTCTGCGAAATCTCGGACGCTTTGCAGAGACGCTAGATCCATTTCCACAATCACCTGAGTCAATCTGAATCAGATGAGTCAGGGATGACTGAGCAAATCCAAGCATGGCAGCTGGACAGCCATGGCAAGACGAGAGGCTGGTGGAGGCGCGTTTGGGTGCTCCTGTAACATCTTGAAGAGGGTAAATGCACATTAAAATCAAACAAAGCTGATGGCAGGTTGGGGGACAATGGACACCAAACCAGGCCTTCTTGAACCTCGCTTCCAAAGCTTTCCCCTTCTTCATATCCCGCACCTTACTGGAGGTACCGGTGCCAGCTACTAGTACCAGTATCATTCCTGCACTTCCACAGTCATTGAACAACATCTCAAGCACAAGGTATTACCCTCATGACCAGTGCCCTGTTGGTGTACAGAACCATCGATGCCAAAAGGTTGGTACAAGTACCATCAAGTACCTGCACCTTTTGGATCCTTTTGGTTCTCGTATCAAACTTGGCCATTGCTGAAGATTCGTGTGCCTGACTCAGGCCATGGCGGGGAGAATCAAGGTTGCATTCCACGCGGCCAGTGCCTTTCAGAGGTGTTGAGAGAGAGGTTGAATACAAAAGACGTAGCGATTCAGCGATGAGCCAAAATCTTGAAAGCGTGCCTCTGCAATGGCTGCATAATGAGAATAGTCATTAAAATAATATATGTGGATGCGAGCAAGTTGCCAATGAAGACATACTCTAAAGTAGTGACGCAACATTTTGGAATAATTTTGAAGAAACATGAAGAAACTAATGTTTGATTTGAGCACGAGGTGTCGGCATTGCGACAAGACTCTGGTTTGCAAAGCAGCGTGATGCAGCCTCTGCTTGCCAAAGACCAAGTCCTCTGGTGGCGCCGGTTATCAGCACCCGCTTCCCTCGCATGTCGACTTCTTGGAGCTCTCCCAAAGCTGGGGTTGTTGTGGCCTGCCAAGCGACCTGAGAGCATCGCAGGCACTTGGCGTAGTTGGCGTAGTTATTGATCTTTTTTCAAACAAGGACCATCACCAGAATTCATGGGGGTGCTTCAGGATAGGTTTAACCATGTTTAACCCCCTTCAATCCCCTTCGTTCATACCCGGGTTCTTTCTTATTCTACAGCTAGCAGCGTAGCATGAGTAAGCCAACAAGGGCCCTCAGGGTCTGATGGATCTGATGGATCTGGCAAGTTGGAACGGGCTGCACAGTGTCACCGCAAACAGGTTACGCGGACATCGTTCATGTGCCGTTTTTGCAAATGGTAACTGGTGACAATGTCATTCTCTGTGAACATTCCACAACTCCACAACAGTGTTTTTTTCTTGCGCTCTGATCATGAAAGCTACTTATCTAGCACATAGCATACACATGCATACACCAATCACATGCCATAAACTGCTATGTCATGTCATGCTTTGACAAGATGACAGGCCCATGCCCCAGATCTTACACATGTGGGGGCGTTTAGGTTTGGTTCAATGTTTGGTCTTCAGAATATTTGGCGGTCTGGTTGGACGGGCAGAACTTTCCAGGAAATCGTTTCCAGTGGACACTTCGCGCTTCAAGTGATGGCACATGATACAGCATATTGCTCGTCTTCCTGCCCAAGACTTGGGGGCAAACACAAATTTGATTATGAAGTGTTGATTCTGAAGAACCATGAGGCCAATTGCATCCAATTGCAGTATCTCTAAGCTCCAGGCTGCTATTGCAGCGACCAAGTAGGGCACACACCTTGAAACTTTCAAGATCTTGTAAGGCCAAGTGAACGATGCCAATGTTTCCAAATGCATTGATGTTCACCAATCTTTGACAGCTTGATACAGCTTGTCTCAAAGGGTGAGGCTTCGGCATGCAGCTGAAAATTGCTTTGATCTTGGCCATCCGATTGGCCGAAGTCTTGGAAGAACTTACCGCCATGGCTACAGCTGGCTACAAAAGCTGAAGCCTACAGTTTCATACAGTTTCTCCGTCCGATGGGAAGCCACTGACTTCAGTGAGTCCATGCTCAGTATATCTCAGTATGCTCTTCTCCACTGCTTCTCTTTTTCAATCCCACTTTGCATCGACCCATATCTCGGTTGACATCTCGGTTGACATCTCCAGTAAGATCCTTCAAGCTCTATGACTCCAACCGCCATAAATAAATTGCACGTACGATCATCCCTCCGTATATGTTGAGTCTATCAGTGCAATTAAGCGCTTCCTCTCTATCCAAGAGCAACATATCTTCCACCTCAAACACTTGCGGACATGAGATTTCAGATTTGCAACCTTGACAGCAATGCTGCCATGTGCCATTCCATGATACACACTTGAACCAAGCTGAATATGGAGCACGTGAATGAATTGTGGTCTGTTCTCAGTGCAACTATGGCCTGATGCTGGCTGGAGCTAGATGAATCAATCGTGTGTGAAAGGGCCAAGCAAAAATAGCAAAACCTGTAAACTCTTCTCTCAATTCCCACGGATTTCAAAAGGCGCCTGAAGGGGAACAGTTTGCAGCAAGACGAGATAAAGTGTTGACCTTATCAATGGACATAAAGCGCAGTCCAAACAGTACCACAAAAATACTATAAAGGAAACCATCTGTAGACACCACACTCTAGATGGCTAACGGGCAATCTCATCAAATAAGGTATAGCTCGACGCATGGTGCTGCATTAAGCTTCATGCTGTTGCAACCAGTACTTGCATACGTGCTGTTCCGCTGCTGGGACAGCTGCTTGTAGATACCTGACCGTGACAGTGTACAAATTGAAAGAAACTCTCTGCCAGCTCTCTGCCTCTCTCTCTCTCTCTTTCTCTTCTGAGCATCAAGTACCAATCAAGTACCAAGGAAGAGGCAGATAAAGGTGTGCCGTCCCTTTCCACCGATGAACCTCTCAGCATTCTCAGTCATCTCCCATCTTGACTGTTGGCAACGCTGCAATGCTGCATATCTGACCATGGTGTGAAATGCCAGTAAAAGCACCTGAATCAACGTTTATGTCAATCTCCAAGGCATCTCGGACAGCTGCAACTTCTTCCTTGGTGTTTCTACTTAAATGATCAGAACATACACGACCCTAGTCACATTCGGCTCCAACATATTTTATCACATTTTCATATATTTTCCACATAGAAGACAACAAAACGAGATGAAACCGGAATCGACCGAATCATACAGAATCCATCCACTTTCTATTCATCATCTTTCATCTTCTAGTACAGTACTGCAATTACTTGCCAAATCTTGCCAACATTTTCCACACTCCAGGCTCCGGACCTGCCACCGCAGTGCTGGCAGCCGTTCAGAGCTTCCAGGCCGCAGGATCGGGGTCGCCTGGAGCGCTTTGTTTTACATGGCGATGATGTCAGCGATGACGTCCCGAGGCGCCAACATAAAGATAGTGAACATCCAAGATGGACTTCTGCCTCTTGTCTAGACCTGAGTCACATTGAGTCACTAGAAAATACTATTAAGACATCTGATATCATCTGATGCATTTTGTGCTTCACATCAGCCAGTTGACAAAGGCTAAAGCGCTACTTCGACGCAAACACCAAGGCTGGGGCAGGACAAACAGGAACTTGCGTCTAGAGCCTGAGCATCACACAATGGCTGGATAGGCAATGGAGGATTGAATGCATGACCGACCAAACTCAATCTCTGTGTGTCCATATGTGTCTAATCGAACTGAAGCATAGTTAATAGATGCATTAATTCTAATTAACTAATTCTAATTATCTCATATATGTTATGTAATATATATTATATATATAATAATATGATCTTTTGAGGTTCCCAGTTTGCTCCCCTTCACCTGGAACTGCTTCGAAGCCGTGGATCTTGCAGGTGAGGCCACAGTGGAGTTGGCCGGCCTGGTGCAACACTGGGCAAAAGACATTGGACATACCAGGACATACCAATAGATATGTTATAATATGTTATATATATATTCATATTATTTATAGATGTATCTATATATATATACACATAGCAATCAAAGGAATTTCATAGATGTAACATGATGTAACAATAGATTGAGATATTCTATGTATATTTATACATCTCAAAGTGTCATATGAAACAGATACTGTCTCGCGCTCCCGCAGCTTTCTTTTTCCACAGCTATGCCTCTGCTCAGTCAATTTCACCTGCAATCCTCAGGTTTGCTTTGGGTTGTCACGATGTGACACGTACATAGCCCCAGACCAGTTTCGCCACTGGTCAGCTGCCTGGCAACCCAGGCTGGAACCTGCTCTGCAGGAATCACCCATCCCTTAACCTAAGGGAGGGAAAGTCTCTCTTGGTCGCCCCAAGAGAGGATCCCCGATAGAGGCTATGTACTCGCCTGCCGTGCAGGCTCCCCTAACCTAGGCGGACATCTCCACGGGAGGTCGGCTCTTAGGGTTGGGAGGGTGGGGAAAGAAAACAGCAATGAATGCTATTTTGGTTCAAGTTTACTTGAGCCAAAATGGTAGCATTCATTGAAACACTTAAAGATGATACATGCACACCCAAGCCTGCCAAACTCAATGCATGGGTACATCTCAAAGTGTCATATGAAACAGATACTGTCTCGCGCTCCCGCAGCTTTCTTTTTCCACAGCTATGCCTATGCTCAGTCAATTTCACCTGCAATCCTCAGGTTTGCTTTGGGTTGTCACGATGTGACACGTACATAGCCCCAGACCAGTTTCGCCACTGGTCAGCTGCCTGGCAACCCAGGCTGGAACCTGCTCTGCAGGAATCACCCAATGCACTCAATTCCCAAAGCACTAAAGGTATTCGAAGGTGAGAATGACAGCTGCAAAGGGTAGCTGGAACAAGATTGTAGGGAGGTACGACGAGTAAAATTCAAAACCATGGCATCGCCACCATGGATCATTGACGCCAAGGCGGCTGATATCGTCAGCCCAGTTGCTCTTGCTCTGGACGTACTCCCAATATCCTTGGGCTCGCAGTGCAAACAGAGCTAGATGGATCAAATGACCTAGCTTCGCTAAGTCGGCATTGCTAGAACGTCCTCTCACTAGCGTCATGACGGCTGCTACGTTGTCCAAAAACCATAGGCCGTGTCGATTTCGAAACAGATCAGGCCTTTCGACAAGGGCGTAGAGCACCATAGATAGTTCCAATTGGGCGATATGCGTCCCTGCAGGTTGCCAAAGTGCTCGTAGTTCTGCATTTGGTCGCGACAAAACTGTGACGAATTTGTGATCCGTCAGGCTGGAAAAAGATCAGGTGAAAACCTCCTGAACCAGGATTGTCTGCTTCGACAGCTGCGTCGGAGGCTGCCAAAAAGCGCAGATGATCCAGGTGCAGAACGGGAAATTCCCGTTTTGGCTGAAAGCGCATAACCGCTTCGATCACCTCGAAGCATGCTTCAATCTCGGGAGTGATGGTCGAGGTTGTCTCGTCTTGCCTGGCTTTGATGGCCATAAGGCCACCATATCCCACTCGACCGTAGATGCCCTGTTCCAGGAAGTTGGCCAAGCCGTACAGCTTCGATGCTGCCCCTCGGCTAAAATGGCCAGTCACCCTGGCTGTTGCCAACATGTCACGTACTTTGTCATGGAGCCGTTCTCGAGCCCAAAACTGTACATGCCCTGTTTCGTTGATGGAGCTAAGATCATGAGTCAATCCCAAAAAGGTTCCGGTGCTCTGCATTGGTTGTTTCTTGTCCTCTGCGAAGGGGGATCCGATGAGAGAACACAATTGATTCATGGCCCATTGGCCTGACCCTTTTGAGGATCGCAAGTCTGTAATGGTTGCATCATCAAAGTACAGGGATGTCAAAACTCGGCAAAAACGCCTGGCAAGTGCCTCCAATAGTCTGGAAAAACGGTTGAATGATGTAACCGCCAGTGGCAGTCCGAAGAGTAGCCCAGCGTAGACTTGGTATGCAGGGGTTTGCCATTCGTGATGGTACCACACCACGCAGCCCAGACTTTCCTGCAATGCCATAGGGCAATACCTGTATGCTGAAGGCAGATCTTCTTGTCCTGTTTCCCAGGCATCGTTCGCGAAGAAATCGGCCATCTCATCCTCTGTCCAACGATGCATTGCAAGGCGAATGTGCTGGGCAGGACGCAATGGACTGCACAATGTGAGCTTGTTAGCATCAGATGACAAGGCTGATTGTCCTCCGGTGTCTCCATTGTCGATCACACGCTGCTTGCCTGAGCTCTGTGTGATCACGCAACGCGGGATCAATCGATGGGCCTTGTTGCCAATGGCCCGCAGGAAATCTGTCCGTCGCAAGGGCTCTGTGCAGAAGCCATTCGCTGCGTCCTCCAATGACTGCTGCAGGAGGAACTCATCGTCCTTGCCTGCTCTCAGCTGGCCCAAGATGTGCTGATTGTGTTCCTGCCATCCCTCCAACACATCCGCCATGCTGATCACCTCAGCTGGCTGTTGGGGGAATATCCCATAAGGTGGTGCGTAGCCCACTGCAGGCAGCCCACGGATCAGACCATAGGGAAAGCTGGTGTCTGCCCATGATGTCAGCAGCATCAGCAATGCGATGAGCCCCACATCGCGGTGCCGTGTGACCTGTTGGATGGCCGGCTCTTGGAAGGAGCGCAAGTGGAGGGTCACCCCCTCCCAGCGTCTCTTCAGCTCTCGCATGGCCCCGACTGCCTGCTGCCGCCACGGGCGCAACTGCTGGCCATGTGCCACATATGCATCTGCTACGAACTCCAGGTCTAAGTCGACGACTGGGAGGTCTTCGTAGGGCAACGGTTGCTGGGCTCGTTGGACTGCTTGGTTGAAGTGGTCCTCAGGATCCAAGTTGAACGGCAGCAGTGGGGGCAAAGCGGCACGGTGTGTCATCGCACCCACTTGGCACCCGTCCCCAATCCGTGCAAGCTGCCTCACTGACCTGCGGGACTAGGGGCCCGTCCCAAGCTTCTCCTCGCTCTGCAAGCCAAGCGGCATATGAGCAGAAGGGCGGGCTGTTGATGAGGTCTTCAATCATTGCAAACTTGTAGTTCTTGAACCAGTGCTCGGGGAAAAGCTTTTGGAATGCCAATACCAGTGCTTCTTGGCTCATCATGGGTAGGGCTACCCCCCTGGGAATAGCCTGGATCCCTTGCAACAATGCCACAGTCCTACTCCATCGGCCATCGGTGCCCCGCTGCATTGGGTCACCCCCAGGGGCGGTGGCATCGAAGAAGAGGCCAATGAGCATGTCCGCTTCGCACAGGTGCTCCATGGGGCAGTCGCACGCCAGCTCCATATTGCTAAGCTCATGCAAGGCGTCCCACAAAGGTGATGTTCGAATATGGACGATGTACCTGGCCGGCCATTCACCGGCTTCGCAGTTGTGGCCTGGTGTCCATGGCGATTTCCACTTGGTCGTCGATAGGCGATGATGAAAGCTGCCTCGGCCAACGTAGATGGTATTGCGTGGTAGCTTGTTGTTCTCGATCATCACCTCTTTGACGAGCCTTCGGACCGGTAACCCCGATCGTTCAGCCCTCAAGGATTCTGTGAGGCCCAGCGTCACCGCCAGTGGTGCCATTGCCCACTCCCGCATTGCGCGCGGGTCCATATCCAGCCAATGTTCACGGCGTCCGACTGACATGAACGTGGGCATGCGTGGGACATGCAGGACGGCTAGACCTGTGCGCACTGCCCACCAACTAGCCGACACTGCAATCGCAAAGGCAAGGACTGCTGTGTACTCTGCCTCTTCTTTGGATGGGTAGAACCGCTGGCCGTCGGAGGTGTAGGGGGTCCATTCCTGTGGGTCGTGTACATGGTGGCAATTGGCTGGGGGCCAGCGTTGGATCTCCTCCACATTGTGCCGTAGCACTTGATGCTTGCAACGCGCCCCACCCAAAGTACATGCCGCGTAGGCTGTGTCGAACCATTGTCCCGATTCCCACATAGTCACCTCTGTGGACGTCCACCAGTGCAAGGAGCGGGCAGGGTTTTCACGCACACTGCCTCCCCCCCTATCCCGCAACTTCTGAATTTCGCCCAAGACATAGTTGCAGGCTTTGTTGTCAAGGTCAACTCTTTGGGCATCCCGGCTGTTGAGGTGAGGCAGGCCATCAGGGTAGACCTCGGATCGAAGAGGACCAGGGGCTGGCCGCCCGTCTTCAAATTTCCTGGGGATCTCCCTGGCCCTACTCTTTGTCGAACAGTCGATAGCTGCCGCTATGAAGATCACCTCTTCAAGCTGTTTGCTCAGGGAGTGTTGCCGGCGCTCATCTGACAGGTCATGGCTGTCATCCAACAACCAATCCACTGTAATGCATTGCCACCCGCAACTGATGAATGCTTTGGTGAGGGGTGCGTTGGGACCTGCCATCAGATCTGCCATAAGAGGTCGCCCCTCTTGCGGCTCTAGCTCATCTGACCCAAAAGAGGCAGCCGCCTCCTCTTCTGGGGCGTGTCAACGCTTACCAGTGCAATTGGCTGCACCGTGGTTGAACGCTCCACATACCCGATCTTTTCTGATAACTGCTCCGCATCGATGGGCTCCTTGAGGACATGGTTTGGCCTTACAGCCTCCGCGTTGAAATTGCGGGCAAAGTTTGGTACCATCCTTCATTGCCGTCGCCACGGGTTTGCCATTGATCGGTTTGCCCAACTTCAAGGGTGATGTGCTTGGCGGCACCTTAGATGGACTTGCAGTAGAGGCTGCAGTGGGGGCTGCATTCTTCCTGTCCGGGGTAGCGGGCCCTGGTGCAGACCAATGTGCGTCCCTGGACGTGTAGATCTCGCTGATCACCTGTCCCAGGCTCATCGTAGACTCACGAAATTTGGACACCCACTCACTACGTTCCTCCACATCTTTGGCCTGGAGCCATTGCATGCGCTGTGAGGTGGGCAGACCTGCCACACTGCGCTTGGCTCTGAAGTAGTA